GAGTAAACCAAATTGATATATATAATAAGATCAAGGAATATTAATAAACCGATAATAATAGATTGTAACACTGTATAAAAACCCGATAACTCTAATATGTAATCCTTGCTTCTTTGGCACTTTGCTTGCATATATGCCGATGTATATCCCAACGAAAAAAAACTGAGACAACTAACTATCACGGTTCAGTGCTTTTTAATTATTTATGGTAGAGGCGAAGAAGTTAAACAACTAAAAACTGAACTTAATGAGGTTGCGTATCTTGGATGGAAAATGGGGTTAGCCAGAGGCCCGTCCACCCGTCATTTGGACGGGTACTTGTGAACCTGGCAGTTGATGTTAAAACTCTAGTATTTTGTCCCTGGTAATTATAGTACAACCGTATAAGCTTAAATTTTGCTATACCGTCACATTAAACAGTCATACTGCACATTCCTGTACATACATATATCTTATCCACAAACAAACAAGCTACAATTTCCTTTGTATTTGAAATATATATAAGTATTTTAGGCGGATTTTAAGAATAATTTCGGCGGTATGTTAGTGAGGTAACCAAGCTGTTTGCTCTTTTGACTGCTAAGAATTACGTTTTTAGAAGATAAAGATTAAAGATCTAATTTCAAAATTATTCCAAGAGAAACATTTTTTTGGAGGGGGGGGGGGACGGCAGACCTGGTCGAGCATTTGTGGACGGATACATTGCTAGTCCTATGTCCCTAGCTGGAATGCTCATAAAAAAACATCTAGAACAAAGGAAGACTTATCGCGAATACATTATTGTAGTGCCAGAGCATGACTGCACTAATCGACTACAGAAATTTAGGTGTGTCAATAAACTAGAAAAATGTATAAGGTTTATATAACTAACAAGACGATCAACACGCGTAACCTGTGTAATGCGTAAATGAACCATGAAATGAACGTGGTCATAATATATACTTATACATATGATGGTAAGTCACCAATAATAACTTGTTAATGCCTTAATCCTTTTGTTGTCACAAAAAGGGGCAACTAGTTGCCCCCGCACTGTTAGGGCAGCGGGGGCCACTGCCCTCCGGTGCCCCTGATTCGTCGGTCTTTTCATCATATTTCAGTGTTTTATCGGTTAAAATTTACCGTTTTGTTGTTTAGGGTAAAGATCATTAGGAATTTATAGTCGATCCCACATTTGGATAACCATAGGATAACTATATCAGCCAACAGGAGACGAATTTAAATTTTATATATTAAAATAGAAAACATTTTCGCAATGCTCCGGCCAGCTGCAAAATTTTTAATTAAACAATATCATAATTAAAGAAGTTTGAACCATTCAAGGTATAAAGGTAAGGTAAAAAGACTAAAAATACTATTTGAAATGTCTACACCTAAATAAATAATTTACAAAATAAGCAAATTTGTAATTTGAATTTTTGTTTTAATAAAATAAATAATATCCATTAATAAACCTATTATTTATGGCGTACTTACATAATTATTACTCGATGTCGAATCATGAGCCTGCATATACAGTGGCTCCTATCCTTTATTTTAGAGGTTGGATTTTTTTGCTTATTCTGAACATGTGTTTGGTTTATATTGGCCCAGAGGAGTGAGAAGAGGACACGTTTAATTTATATATACGGCAAGGATACAGGCGTTGTGAAAACCCGGAATGCCGGAATATCACGGAATATGCCGGAATATCACGGAATATGGAGGAATATCACGGAATATCACAGAATATCACAACATTTTCCCGGAATATACTGGAACATCACAATATTTTCCAATGGTAGCCATGCGACTGTTTATAAACATGGACGTCTGACAATTACATATTTCAGTTATTACAAAAGTGATGGATCTTTCCCTTTTTGACGATAAGTAACAAGTAATAACTCTATACTGGAAGTTTTATATGTTGTTTATATCATTTTTACGAGTGTTCACCAAAAATTTTGAATGAATATGATTAATTTCTCCTGATCTTAGGATAAATATTAATGCCCAGCATAAAACACGTAAAAGAGCCATAACAAAAATATAGTTTAAAATATTTATTAGAAAGCTAATGTTTCGTCTTTAACTTAAGACATTTAAGGATTCTTTCTCATTTGTCCAGGAATTACTCAGTCTCAATCTTGATTCCAACAACGTTGTCATGGCAAGCTTTGATGTGACTTCCTTTTTTACCAACATTCCTCTAGATGAAACCATTGACATAATTTCAAACCGTTTATTCTCTAATGCTGTTCGCTTTCATGGTCTGACTCAATTGGAATTTAAGAAACTTCTTGGTCTTGCTGTGAAAAACTGCTCTTTTTTGTTTAATGGGTTTCTGTTTCAACAGATTGACGGCGTTACTATGGGGTCACCCTTATAGGTCCTTTATTCGCCAATATATTCCTGTCTTTTCATGAGTCTAACTGGTTAAATAACTGTCCTGTCAACTTTAAGCCATTATTGTACCGCCACTATGTTGATGACTGTTTCTTGATTTTCCAGTCTGCTGATCATATACCTCAATTTCTCTCTTATTTAAATCGCCAGCATCCTAATATTAATAAATTCACTAGTGAAGTTGAATCTAGTTCCACACTTCCGTTTCTTGATATCAGCATTTCTCGGAAGAATGGTGTTTTCGAAACTTCCGTCTATTGAAAGCCCACCTTCACAGGTCTGTTTACCAACTTCCATAGCTTTATTCCTTTTCAATATAAACGTAGCTTAGTTTCTTCTCTTATTCATTGTTTCTTTAGTCTTTGCTCCAATTATGAGAACTTTCACGCTCAGTTAGAAATATACTGCCAGATTCTTAATAAGAATTGTTATCCAACTCGTCTTTTTGATCGCTGTGTACGAACATTTTTAGAAAATGTGTCTCAACCCAAACCAGCTGTTCATTCTGCTCTTAAGAAAGTTCTATATTTCTCTCTTCCATATACTGGCTCTTACTCTCTTCAAATTCGCACCCAAATCTCCCGTCTCTGTTCCTTGGCCTTTCCCCATGCATCTTAATATTAGATTCGTTTTTCGTCCAACTTTACGTTTGTCTCAACTCTTCGCCTTTAAGGACAAAATTCCTAACGCTTTAAGATCTTGTGTTGTGTATTCTTTCACGTGTCGTTGCTGTTTTGCAACGTATTTGGGCCAAACGGTCCGTCACTTGCACACACGAGTTTCTGAACATTTGGGTGTTTCTCCTCTAACAGGCAGTAAAAGCAGCAATCCGACCATGTCTAGTATCCTTTCCCATCTTGATAGCACTGGTCACTCCGCCTCTCTTAATGATTTTAAGATTATTTCCTGTTGCTCTTCTCCAGACGAACTCCTCATTCGAGAAAGTCTTCTCATTAACAAACTCAAACCCTCTCTCAACTTACAGGGCAGCTTGGTCCCTTTACTTCTACTCTGATCCATTCCTCTTTTTACCTTTGTAATATAATATCTTGTAAATAGTTGTAGTTTATTCATATTTCTGTGTTTTCCGCTTTGTATGTCATTGCTCTGAAGATGTCTTAAGTTAAAGACGAAACGTTAGCTTTCTAATAAATATTTTAAACTATATTTTTGTTATGGCTCTTTTACGTGTTTTATGCTGGGCATTAATATTTATCCTAAGATTATGATTTCCGCCCGGTTCATCTATCGCAAGTAATTTCTCCTGAGTTAATACAGCGTCTTGAAAAATAAAAGGGCTGATGTCATAATTATTTTCGAACGTCTTAAAAACTGTGTTATACACAAAATTTAGTTAAAATTAAAATTATTTGTTAAGTTTAAGACAGGACTTCTTACCTGATATAAACAACTGGCTCAAATTAACTTGCCTTTATTTTAGAATTTGATTTTTGGATAAATGCTTGGTGGTATAAAATGGTCAATTTTAACTAAATTTTGTGTATAACACAGTTCGAAAATAATGCTGACGTCAGCACTTTTGTTTTTCAAGCCGCTGTAACTCGAGAGGAATTAATCATATTGATTCAAAATTTTTGGTGAACACTCGCAATAATTATATAAACAACATATAAAACTTACAGTATAGAGTTAGTGTTTGTTACCGTCAAAATAGGAAAGATCCATCACTTTTTGGCGTCGCCATATGCTGTCGACAAGAGGTTTAGAACGTTATATCATTATATAAAGTGAACGGTTCACTTCTCCTATGAACAGGCCCTTTGGTTAGGTTAAAGCCCGCGCATCTACAAAAGTTTTCGAACTGTTTATGCACCAGTCAATGTAAATCCCCCCCCAACCGGGGAGGGGTGGGGATTTTGACTTAGAGGGTTAGTAAAAGAGCGAAATTGTCCCCGCCCCCAGGGAAAGCGTAATTAATCAATGTCCCCACATGTCTCTCAACCCCGGGAAAATAGTTTTGTATATATTTCATAGATCAGCAATAGAAAATCAAATTATTTTATGTTATTGTATTTAAACTTTTCTTGTAAAGAAAACTAAAACAGCAACACAGGGTATATATGTTAACCACTGAATCCATTCCCCCGCTTTCTTCCCCGCATCGTCTACCGAAAGAGAAAATGTTGTCCAAGTCCCCCATCATCGGGGACATATTTACCATCAAAACTGACCACTTTCCCTGCTAAATCCCCGCCCCCCCTCCCCGGTTGGGGGGGGGCGGGGATTTACATTGACTGGTGCATTACGATAAATAGTTTTATCAATGCCGTCCGGCCTTGAGATTTCCGACGTTATTATAAAGAACTCCGCGAGTATTTGCAGTAAAAATACGAAAATATCACCAAAAAATTCTGCTTGAAAGATACTATATAAGTTCTTTGAATGTTTGCATGGCGATAAAATATAATTGTTTTTGTTTGTGGAAACACCACGTAAATTTATTACTGCAAAGCTTTCGATCTTCATCAGTGTTAATAATATGTGACTTGTTTCATTCACACGCTCTTTTTATATACAAGAGTGTCGTGATCTGTTGGCTCGCGTCATTTGAAATTTAATTAAACGACACATCAACCATGTCATTTCAAACTATGAGTGCTAGAAGACTTACGCCGGTTGAAGAAGATGTCTTGGCTCTTGGATTAAATTTCGCTGTGGTACCCTGTGTTCTTCCTAAAGAAGAATTCGTACAACGTTTGGAACCGAAGTTATACCACATGGCGAACGATGAAGCTAGTAACATCCGTGTCCAAATCACCGAGGTTCTACGACGTCCAACGCTTCCAGCTTCGAATTTAACCAAGAATAAGAAGGATGCATTGAAAAACTTAAGAGCAGATAAGTCAATACATATTTTAAAGGCTGATAAGGGTAATGCTACGGTTATTTTAGATCGTCTAGAATATGATAATAAAATCCTGGTTCTTTTAAACACTTCAACTTATAAAGAGCTTAAAAGAGACCCTACAGCTAACATTGAACGTAAAATATGTTCCAAACTATCTGGTTTTAAAAAGGCAGGTATTTTGTCTCAAACACTTCATAACTGTTTGAGACCTTCAGCTACTGTTTCTCCAAAATTTTATGGTTTACCTAAGATACATAAACCTAATGTCCCACTAAGACCTATTGTAGCGTCCATAGGTTCGCCAACGTATGCCCTGGCTAAATATCTCGCTGAGATATTGAAACCAATTGTTGGAAAAACAGATCATCATGTAGTAAATTCTAAAGAATTTGTAACAAAAATGGAACAAATTAGATTGGGTAAGAATGACATTCTGGTAAGTTTTGACGTAGTTAGCTTGTTCACTAATGTTCCAGTTGAAGAGGCTTGTAATATTGATGAGGCTTGTAATTATAGACTTCTTTCAGATATTACATTATCTCAAAGAACTAATATTTCTCCTGAGAATGTTCATGATTTGTTGAAACTATGTTTGACCACGACATGTTTTCAATGGCAGGAGAAATTCTATGAACAAACAAACGGTGCTCCAATGGGAAGTCCATTGTCGCCTGTTATGGCTAATTTGTTCATGGAGGAATTTGAAAAGAAGGCCTTACCTACTGCAAAGTTGAAACCAGGTTTCTGGTTCAGCTACATGGATGATACATTGAGTAGCTGGTCTCATGGACTAGATAATTTACAAAAGTTTCTAGACCACATTAATAGTTTGCATCCATCGATCAAGTTTACTTTTGAAGTACAGAAGGATGATAAAACTATACCGTTCTTAGATGTTCTTTTCACTATACATGATGATGGGTCGCTAGGACATAAGGTTTATAGGAAACCAACACATACAGACAGGTATCTGCATTATAATTCATTTCATCATCCTAGTATTAAAAACTCTGTGTGCAAGACACTCATCAACCGAGCGAAAACAATTTGTGAGGTAAGTAACATTGACGATGAATTAGAACATTTAAGAAATGTTCTAAAAATGAATGGTTACCCACGTCATTTCATAGATAATGCTATGAAAACACCACAAAGTATACAGCAGAAGATTGAATATCAGTCGTCTGTTTGTCTACCATACATTGGTCCGGCTTCACACAAAATCGAAAGAATTTTGAGGAATGAAGCAGGTATAAAGGTATACCATTCCAGCGAAAACAAATTGTTTCGAGCTCTTTGCACACATAAGGACAACGTAAATGAATCTCAGAAACCTGGTGTGTACCGCATTCCTTGTGAATGTGGTCTGGTTTACATTGGTGAAACTGGTCGAAATCTCTCAGTACGTCTTAAGGAACACAAGATGAATTGCGAGAAAGCCGAGCAAGATGAATCTGCTGTGGCTAAACATCTTGGACTTACGACCATCGTATAAAATGGGACGAAGCAACCATTTTGGCGATTGATAGTCATAAGTTCTCTTGCAAAATGAGAGAGTCAATTGAAATCGAGAAGCACAACACTATAGATCAGGAGGGAAAGCCACTAGATAGTACGTGGCGAAACAAGTCACATATTATTAGCACTGATGAAGATCCGGGCTTACGGATCGAAAGCTTTGCAGTAATAAATTTACGTGGTGTTTCCACAAACAAAAACAATTAGATACTATATACTCGAACAATGTAAAATAGTCATAAAATATAAACTAGCCATACTCGAACAATGTATTAAACTAGCTATACTATACCTATATACAATACACTCGAACAATGTAAACAATGTACGACAATGTATCACTAAGCCATACCTTTTGCCGAATATAACTTTGGCCCCTTTCAACCTATCATTTTTATAATATTCTTGTTCGAATCACAATCCAAGACACTATTAAAAGTGTTATTTTCAAGTTTGTATCTACGATTTGCAACTTTTATTTCGGTATTTCAGAATATCTAAATTTTACATGAGAAGTTTGACCGGAAATACAGCTTGACCACCTTGACATATTGAAGCAATGCGATGTTTACATCCTGGCACTCGGGAAACGTCGGAGATCGATTCTAAAGATCATATTACCCTTTCATGTAACGTGATTTGCACGTGCATCGGGGCTATGGTGCTTATTATTGGCCAATTTTAGCGCGTGACACGCGCGTGCAAGTAACAACACGATATTCTGAAAAATTCAAAATAAATATTTCTAGTCCGCACTTGAATACAAGGAGTATTTCACTCCTATTGAAGTACAGAATGTTTGGTCAAGCGGGGAGTAAATATACGATTGTTTTGGTTTGTGTAATGTTATGACTGCATTTGACCCACCGTTCGAAAGCTTGTTTTATGAGGATTGCAACGGTGGATTTCGTTTTAAAAGGCGGGTAAATACTTGCCGAGATATTTTAATTTTCCCCACTCGAAAGTCGGAAATGTAAATATAAACCGGACGGCATTTTCATCCAGTAGATGCCATCCAGTAGACGCTACAGCGTACCTATTTTTTCAATAAGGGACCATTCATTATTTATGACTGGGGGTGGGCTGGTAAAATTCAAATAATAACTAAACAAAATGTCCTGACCCACCCCCTGCATCACAAAAAAATTCAATGACCCCTTTACATGAATTGTAAAAAATAATAACACCCCCCTCCCCTCCACCACCACCACCACCAATATAATACATGTACAGTGCTGTATAGAAATGCGCTCTTTAAACTTGTTCAGTAAAAGGCATCAGCTCTTGCATTTACCTGTGCTTTCAACAATAGCAGAGCTTCGAGGGCCAAAGGCTCAAGGAAATTTTTTAATTTAGAGTCTCTGAAATTTCATTTCCTGGACTTTGGGGAAGATTTGACAGAATTCTGATGGTCAGAAAACAGCATTTTAGTATGTCGAAATTTACAATTTAGTAGCACTAAATGGGCGAAGGCATATTTAATTAACTATATATTGGAGAAGTTGCAGCAAAGTATGGGTAGTATGATTCTTTGCAGTTTGTCATGGATAATGTAGCCGCTTAAAATTAATCAATTGTCAGTATCTTAAAAGGTATATTATTTAAATGATTCTGCATGATTTTGGAAAAAATAATAATTAGCATGATTCATGAATGAGAATGAAAAAGAATGATCTGCATGATTTTGGAAAAGGAATGATTGGCGGTTGCTACGGCCCTGGGTTAGGAATAGGGTTAGTGTACAGGGTACTATGTCAATGTACTACAAAGACTGCTAAATAGCCAGTGACTCGACCATTAAATAACCATTTGACTCCGGCTCGGATTTAACACGACAAACCAACAAACTCTTTACTAAATTAAACCATGTATAAAATACCTAGTATAAACTATGATATGCCAAACTTTCCCTGGACGTAATGTTGCTACATCACTTACTCGTTAATTATCTTTTTGATTAAAATGTACAATTGGAATATGACAAAAATTTATGGCAAGTTCATGGCAAAAATTATAAAGGTAGATGTCGTATTGTCGTATTATTATAAAGGTAGATGTCGTATAAAGGTAGTTTTAGTATTAGCTGCGCGCATTGCATTTTGGGTCTATCTGTTGATTAAAATTCAGAATTTTGCTAGCTATATACATGAATTAAATTTGCTGCTTTGCTCGCTCCCTGTGGTACTGAATAATCGTTACATGTCAAATTTTTCTCCACTATAATATATAACTGGACCCCCCTACTGAACTAATATTTTTAGGTGCCCCCCCCTTTTTCAGTCAAATATACCTCATGACCCACCCCTTTTTTTGCCAGCCCACCCCCAGTCATAATAATGAATGGTCCCTAAAATATGTTGTCAGACGTCCATGTTTACAAACAGTCGCATGGCTACCATCGGAAAATATTGTGATGTTCCGGTATATTCCGTGAAAATGTCGTGATATTCCGTAACATTCCACAATATTCCGTAATATTCTGGCATATTCTGTGATATTCCAGCATATTCCGTGATATTCCGGCATTCCGGGTTTTCACAATGCCCGCAAAGGACACTGACGTATTTATACGTTATGGAAATTTATGACATATTTATACGGTAAAGAATACTGACGTCTTTATACGTTATGGAAATTTATGACATATTTATACGGCAAAGAACACAGACGTATTTATACGTTATGGAAATTTATGACATATTTATACGGCAAAGAATACTGACGTATTTATACGTTATGGAAATTTGTTACATATTTATACGGCAAAGAACACTGACGTATTTATACGTTATGGAAATTTGTGACATATTTATACGGCAAAGAATACTGACGTATTTATACGTTATGGAAATTTGTGACATATTTATACGGCAAAGAATACTGACGTATTTATACGTTATAGATTTCTATTACATTTTTGTAGTATTGCTGATACAAATATTTCCATTTGCACATACATACTATATATTTTTGATACACATATATATTCTTGATACGTATATTTATCTATGATATTTTGTCATAAATGGCACCTCATAGTCTTCTATTACTTGTCCTTTAACATTAACAAAGTTCTGACACATATAACTAAACAGACTGAAATTTGCCCTTTTATAACGTTTAGTCTTGAGCCTGCATACACCAACTGATTCGGTAATTATAAATTATAATTGGGCTTACAAATAGAAATTTTAAAATGCCTATACAAACTCATCCAGTATTGCTATCACACGTCTGTGCAAGACTGCTGTGAGTAGTAGATGTATGAAAGTACTCGATTTTTTAGTGGGGGTGTGGGAAATATTTTTTTAATATAAAATAGTATTACGAGAAAGTGTCTAGTCAGCAAAAAAGTGTAAAAATCTGGTTCCTCGGACGGGGGTACTTTTAGCACCACATGAGGTCTTTGAAAATGATGCAATAATGTTGTTGTGCAACATTAAGAGAGGTGTGAACCCAAAGCCGTGGTTGACTGAAGTGATGAATTTTGAATTTGGCGGCATTCTTATGGCGTGGTGTCACGTGACGCGCGGCGTGACGCGCATCCGGTGTGATGCACTTCCGGTCTCGGGTTTTGCGGGTGCGCGCATGCGAAAAGGGTTGATAATTAAAAATTCTGTTTTTTCGGCTTATTTATTAAAAAAATGTTTATTAAATTTACACTGATAAGTATATATTTACATTATTTATTTAAAAGTCTTGAACATCTTTTATATTAACAAGAGTGTTTTGTTCTAGGTAGTTAAGTTTTTTGAGTTTTTGTCTTTGATCTTTAATAATTTCAAATGCTTTTTAGTGCAAAGTTTCTTCGAAACTGTGCACTATTGTGAGAAGTGGCAAACTATTCACATCTGTCATACATCAGATATCATAGAGTAAACTTTCCGGGGGGTATTCGCGAGATGATGCACTTTTTCGGATTATGCAAAATTGCAAATTTCTTCCAATTTTCAGGCGTTTAAATAGTTTCAGTCCCACGTCATAGAAATTATATTATATTTGCCGGATTTATGAACGTTTTAGACCAGAAAATGTTCCATTTTTGACTTTGTCGCAATATCAAGATGGAAGTTGCTTAATCGATCTGTCCCCCTGATAGCACAGTATTTCGTTAAAATGTAACTGCGCATGTGTGAAACGGTATCGCTGCGCAGATTGCAACGTGGCAAGTTTTGCAAGGCGTGAATGTCGTATTTTGAATTTGAAAAGTAGTATCATTATAGACAAAGGATTCAGAGACGGATAGCACTAGAAGTATAGTGTATAGATCACTAGCACTACAAGTGCTATGCTTTACTGCGTTCTTCTGATGACTTAAATTATAGTCGAAACGTAAAGAATTAAAATGTTTACAATTTTCGTAGTGTCTATTGTTTTGTGTTTTATTTTATACTGCGTACGTTTCCCGGCATTTACAGTAAGAAAAAATATGTTGATGATTGTATTTACACTATATCACTATAAAGATTTAACAGAGTGTGTGCAACTACAATAAACACGATGATTTAAGAACGAGTTTCGAAATCGTATTGTACGTGTGATATTATGCAAACCTTCAATTTTATAATACTGCGATTTCCAGTTGAGCATGGAATCGCGAAAGTTTGTTCGTTGCTAGTAAGTTTTGTCGTTTGAAAACAGTGTTTGTGACGTTATTCTATAATGTTGCTAGGCGAGCTGACAATGTTGTCAAGTAAAATAGTGTCAAGTTCACGACTATAAATAGAAACTTATTTTATTTTGTAATGATTGACAGTTTTTAACGGTTTTTACTTGACAACATTGTGTGCTCACCTGGTAACATTATAGAATGATGTCACAAACATTGTTTTCAAACGACAAAAGTTAACGAACAAACTCTACGAACAAACTTTTGCAATTCCACGCTCAACTGGAAATCGCAGTATGTCTGCGCGACAGGATATATGTGAACAATTAGACAATACGGAAGCTCACACTGCATTTTAGTCTATGAACATACTTGTGCACGATTGACACCTTGTCCATATATCGTCAACAGCCATTGCCCTTCATTTCGAATATCATCCATGTATTTTGATAGCCTGGGCAAGAAAAAGTCTTTGGAATACAATTGTCAATACGTTGAATTTTAATATTAAAAATATATTATGCCACATAAAAAATATCAACCCCATCGTCAATGCGTAAATAGCAACCCCATCATAGATGCCTATCGTCCATTCAAACAATCTGCTCCTGAGAAATACAACTAAACATATAGGCTACAGGCAAATAAATATAAATTAATGTAAACATCCAAACCTAAAGTTGTCCTCGACAAAGATAAAGGGCAAAGTCAAAGCCAAGCACGAGAAGTTTGTGGAAAATTCTACTCTTTGTTTTCTAGCTTTAGTTTAGCCTTTTACCTTTGTCGAGGACCAAATAGGCTGATTTTGCGTTGCAATTGTTCGTCGTCTTCGACTTTATAAACTATATTATTAAATAATGTAAACTATAGTAAAACTTTAGTCTTGCGAGTTCTACTTCTTCGAAAACTTAACGAGATTAACTCCATTGTTTGCGTTGTTAACCATCAGTGTCATACTATCTTCTGACAACAAAATTATTTCACTAAGTTTTTCTTCTTCGATAGTTTCCAATGCTTCGTTGCGCTCAAGTTCGTGTGTGATGTTATAATGGTTGATTATTTCCTGGAGAGCTGGGTTAAAAAGAGAGAACCACTGATCTTCTTCCGTATCGCTAGTTTTCATCGATACGCGTGCCATTTTGTTCTTTGTGCTTTTTTCTAGTAGGAATCGAATGTTACAATTTTCACATTTGGCAACTTTTGAATCGGGGCATGACTGAATCCTTTTATGGCATTTCACACACGAATAGTAATCAATTATTTCTACTGTTGTCATGGCAAAACATTTAACTTCTCTACACTTTAATTGTAACTTCGTCGCTGCAGTTTCAATCAATTCGGGAGATATTTGAAGCTCGTCTTCTTTTAATAATTTGAAGTTTGACTCACGCGTTGATGTCAAGTACTTTACGCCTTGGTATTGACGCAGTCGCAGATTTTCGGCAACATAGCGCTTGCCGTCTTGGACACATTTGATGTCATCGTTCCATATTGTCAGTGAAATGCAATCGCTTTCATCAATTATAAATCCTTCTAATTTCGTCAAACCTGTGCTGCCGGCTTGCTCTGGTGTGTTGGAGCCAAAAGTTACTAGTCCTTTTACCGTAACAAGTCCGTTAACCTTGACGTTTTCCAAGTTTTTGATTGTTGTCTTTGGTGATGACATACTTGTTGAAGCTGCTCCCGAGTTGTAAACAAAATCCACAAGAGTATCTGGTGCATCGTCTATTCTCGTGTTGTTATTGATCCACAACACTTTATCTTGACCTTCGAGGGCATCGTCACTTTGTCTAAATTTTGAGACTTTACATGGACTGCAGCTTTCGGCCTTACTTTCCACCAATTTTCGTTTCTCTGGAGAAAAACAAATCGCTTGCGAACCTTTTGTTTTTCTTGAATGAAGAAGGAGAAATATGGAGATCCTTTCTTGCTTATTTGGTTTGGACTTACGTTATGGATATAGCCCACAAGACATTCAGAGGACTTGTCAACGCAGGAAACGGGATTCTCACTTGGTTTTGGTTCTGTCGAAGAAGTCTTTGAGCTTCCTACAAATATTCATAACGTATGTATAAAGGAAAACGAACACAATGAAAACCAGACTTTAAGTACTTTACTAGTAAAACAGAATGGCATGTGCTAGCAATTGGTTATATTAGCGTAAAAAATAGAATACCTTTCTTTGTAGTGGCGCTTTTTGTTTTCTTGCTGGCCATCATATTGATCAACTAGAGAGCATTCGTAAAATAGGTATTACCATATTACCTCGTGCATCCTCAAAAATAGCTATTACTGTACTACAGACTATTATTAGCTGTACTGCTAATTAGTTGTTTACTTGCAAAATCTCTCGTGGACCAATCAAATATCACCATTCCCACGATGTGTACATTTCAAAAGGTATACTTTACGGAAACGGAATTCTGCTATTGCGGAACAGAAGGCTACGGAATAGGGAATAAAATGCGGAAAAGGGGATAAAACGCGGAATTGCGGAAAAGGGGATAAACCGCGGAATTGCGGGAAAGGGGATAAAACGCGGAAAAAGGGATAAAATGCGGGAAAAGGGATAGAACAGGATAAAATTGAAATTATTGTTGTACATTAAAGAGACCATTCGAAAGAAACATTAGAAAGAAAGAAACATTAAAATTGCATTTCTGAGACTATAACGGCATAATAATAATAAGGCTAGGGATGATTTCCAAAAAATGATGGCTAATTGAGTGAAAAGATATTGCTAAGTGCTCACTGAATATTCAGTCAGTTTACAAATTCAAAATCAGAATATAGAATTAAAAAATCTTTCAATCACACGTATTATAGTATGAAATTGCTAACTTGTTCTATGATTTGAATACCATTATATACCCAAAAATTAACCCGTTTGATTTAAATAGTTAAAGATTATTTAACAATTATTACTTTCAAACAATTATTGCTTTTATTGTCTGATTTAATTCTATATAGAATAGTCGATACTTGTACGGGAGTGGGAGGTGGTGATGGGGGGGGGGAGGTTGCTTTCTTCTTATGCAGCACACGTTCATGTGGAAATAGAGTGATCAAAGACAAAAGATAATTTCAGCGTGGTTAAAAACAGCCTTTTCCCCCGTTTTATCCCCTATTCCATACACCAGAGATTCGGTACCGTTCGGTTCTATTCTGGAATACCGGAATTCCGTTTCCGTATTTTATCCTTACACTAAAGACGTATTTATATTTTTGCCATGCCGCTATATTCAGTAATGACTGTCTGTCTAAAACAGGCGAAAAATGCATTTCACACCCAGGAGTTCTACTTGAAACTAAAGGAAAGACAACGACAAACGTACCTTCTATCGATACAACCTTCACTCGTCAGGTTGACATTTCATATGTAAAAGACGAGGAGATGTCCACGAACATTGCCACAGACCAAGATCACAGGTCTAGCACCACAGTGCGAAATTATGATCTCATATCTCGCAATCTATCTAGCTGTCTATCTAGTTTTCTATCGAGTTCTAATGATAATCTATCGAGCAAGACACATTATTGGCCTTGCTCTCATGTCAAAAATGATACATTGTCATCAAAAGCAATAGAGCATTTTGTTCAACCAAATTTCAGTCGGCGCAGATCACACAATAAGATAATAGGCTTAATAGCATGTTCGACCCGTGATCGAGAGCCCTCTAGAATACCTCGGAAAAAAATAATTCGTTTAATGAACAAAAGTAAACATCTCCGGCGTAAAATAAAAACATTTATCAAACGATTTATTCCCAAGACGTCTTTATTGCATAATTTGCTGTCTACAAGATATAGAAAAGATGTCTTCCAGCGACAAATAAATGAATGTAGTTTCTGGAAGCAGCAGTCTTCTTTATTTCGTTTGACTAAAACATTTACTACAAATCAAAAGTTAAAGAAATTTTCAAAGGATAGAACGAGAAAACATAAATTTTATAGCTCAAAAACAGTTAAGCTTTTCTTCAGTAAAAATAGTAACCAAAGACTTAAGACATGTGACAGGTTCAATTTGATTGTGTGTGGTGATATAGAAATGAACCCAGGCCCTGTTGATTCATTGTCTTTGTTGACCTCAAGGCTATCGCAAATAGGGTTAAGACCAGTAAATATTATCGGTGATGGTAATTGTTTCTTTCGTAGTGTTAGCCATCAGCTTTATGGAACAGAAAGTCATCATCCTCAAATAAGAGCTCTTGCAATCCAACATTTAATAAACTGCCCAGAACATTTCATAGAATATAATACTGATCAATCATGGGCACAATATTTACATAATATGTCCCAACTAGGCACATGGGCAGACCATATTATTATACAGGCAGTTGCTAATGCAAAACATTTGAGAATTCACGTCATAGAAAGTGCGCAAAATTTCGCTGAAGCTACAGTTGTAAGCTCGATTTATACTCAGCCTGGGGGAAATGTAAGAGATATTTACATCGGACATCTTGATGAAGTGCACTATGTGTCAACAATGTCAATTGCACGATCTGCTTCTGAACAAACAGGAAATCAGAAAAGAATTGAACAACCAAAATCACAATCACAACATTCACTATCTAATAGAACTCTTCGTCAAAAATGTGTAAGTTTGCAAAGTAGAAAAGACTATATGAGAAAATACATGAAGAAAAGACGGAATAATAATGAATTTAAAACTCAGGAAAATGAAAGAAAAAAAGTATATCACAAAAAGTACAAAATTTTGAATTCTGAAAGGCTTAAGGAATTGCATAAAAAAGCCACTGCAACATATAGACAATCAAATCTTCATAAGGTAAAAAAAGCAAACGAACAATACAGAAAATCAAATCCTGAAAAGGTTAAAGACTCGTTTAAAAGGGCAACTGCAACATATAGACAATCAAATCCTGCTAAGGTAAAGACTCAACATGTAGCGTACAGAAAATCAAATCCTGAAAATGTCAAGAAATCGTACAACAAAGCTACTGCAGCATATCGGCAATTAAATCTGGAAATAGTTGCGGAATCATTAAAAATTTCAAGTAGAATTTACAGAAACAATTATCCGGAAAGAGTTAAAAATATTCAAAAACGGAAATATATTAAAAGAAAGCTAACTTATACTGAGAATGAAACTAGTGGCGAACAGAAGAAATTAAAAAGTAACTGCAATGATAATTCAGGTAAAAGTGCACAAGTACAAGTTGCATCGCCAATAAGTATAGCAAAGGCAACTGAATTATTCAATAAGAACATCAGTGTTGGACCAGAGTATATTTGTACGTGTTGTGACCAGCTGTGGTATAGATCATCTGTCACTGAATGTAATGCTTCCTTATATAAATCATGTTCAAGACAAATCCTTAATTTATGTCTTACTGGTTTTAAAAGCATTGATAATACTGAATGGATATGTGGTACATGTCACTCAAACTTAAAAACTGGTAAACTTCCAAGTTGTGCGAAGGCAAATAAAATGAGTTTCCCAGAAAAGCCGGATGTGTTAAAGACTTAAAGGATTTAACTCCTCTTGAAGAAAGACTTATTTCACCGAGAATACCTTTCATGCAACTGCGTGAACTGCCTAGTGGGGGACAACTTAGTATTCAAGGAAATGTAGTTAATGTACCTGCAGATGTTAATTCTACTGTCAGCGTTTTACCAAGACCAATTAACGAGTCACAAACTATCCCTATAAAACTAAAACGACGCCTCGGTTACAAACACCATTATCAATTTCAGAATGTTAGGCCTTCGAAAGTTTTAGAAGCGGCTCAATACTTGGTTCGTACCAGTGAAATATTCCAGAACGAAGGAATAGAAGTAATGGATAATTATGCATCAAATCTAGTGAATATAAATGAGGAAGAGTGGTCAAAATTTATTGCTACGAACACCAAGGTTACCAAGGAAACTTCAGATAATTTATCGGACAATTTTAATTCTCAAAATAAAAAAATAGTAGAGACACAAACAAGTAACGACACCATTGACAATGACACAGATGATGAGTGGTGTGAAGCAACTGAACGATCATCTGGTGTTATGGATACATTACTACAAGAACCTGACATTACTCAATATGGTGATAAAATAATCAGTTTTGCACCAGGAGAAGGAAATAGACCGCTTGGATTATTTACTGACAAAGATTCTGAATTCCTGTCTTTCCCTACCATTTATTGTGGCAAACGTCAAGCTGATAACAGTGAAAGACTCGTGCCCGTTCATTATAGCACATTGTGTAAGTGGGAATTACGAAGCAAAGATAGAAGAGTTGCACAATCTGTTCCAAACATTTTTTATAAACTGAAAAAGCTACAAATCAGGCAAATTCAAGGAAGTGCCAGTTTATCATTGCGTAAGTGTAAAACAAAAGGTAAAACATATACAGCTGGTGATTTAAAGTCAGAAAGTTCTGTCAATAAGCTGATAAATTTAGATGAAGGATTCAGAGTTCTAAGAAATTTACGTGGCTCCCCTCCATACTTTGAAAGATGTAAGAAGGATTTATTTGCAATGATTCGACAGCTTGGTAAACCTACATGGTTCTGTTCATTTTCAGCTGCTGAAACGCGTTGGATTCATTTAATTAAAATTCTTGGCCGTCTTATTGACAATAAAGACTACACTGATGATGAAGTAAAACAAATGACATGGCAGAAAAAATCTGAACTGATACAAAAAGACCCAGTCACTTGTGCCAGAAATTTTGAACAAATGGTGCAATTATTTATCCATAACTTTATTAAAAGTTCAGGTCACCCAATTGGAGAGGTTGTTGACTTTTTCTATCGCGTTGAATTCCAGCAAAGAGGTTCCCCTCATATCCACGGATTATTCTGGATAAAAAATGCACCTGAGTATGGTAAAGATTCTGACGAGGATATTGCTAAGTTTGTTGATAGATATGTTTCATGCAAAGCAGACTCAGATGATTTAACTGAACTCGTAAATTTACAGAGGCATAAACACTCCAAAACGTGCAAGAAAAGAGGTCATGATGTTTGCAGATTTAATTTCCCATTACCTCCGATGCCAAGAACTATAGTTTTAGAACCTTTATCCGAGACTGACGTAGACGAAAATGTTGCGGATATATTGAAGAAAGCTTTACAACGAATATGTTCCTTATTAGACTCTATCAAAGCAGATGAAACCATGACCTTTGTTGAATTTCTTCAAAAGTTGGATTTATCAGAACAACAATATATAAAGGCTATTAGGCTTTCTCTCAAAAATAGTACTTTGTTATTGAAACGATCGCCTGCTGAGATAAGAATCAACTGCTACAATCCAAACTTACTCAGAGCTTGGAAAGCTAACATGGATATTCAGTTTGTATTAGATCCTTATGCTTGTGCTGTTTATATTCTTTCATATATTACTAAAGGTCAGAGAGGAATGAGTAAGTTACTTCGTAAGGCGTGTGAAGAAGCAAAGGAAGGCAATAAGAATATTGTTAACAAGGTGAGACATATTGGTAACAAATTTCTCAATGCTGTTGAAATAAGTGCGCAAGAAGCTGTCTACTTAGTTCTGCAGATGCCTTTGAGAAGATCATCTCGAGAATTTCAGTTCATCAATACATCTCATCCAGATGAAAGAACATTCCTATTAAAAAGCATGGATAAAATTAAAGAACTTCGCGATAATTCACCTGATATCGAGTCAGACAACGTTATTAAAAGGTATCAGCGACGACCAAAGCAATTGGAAAACGTATGTCTAGCAGATTTTGTTGCATGGTACAACTGCAAAAGTAACAATAAAGAGCAAGAATCAACAGCTTCAACAAATGATTATCTGCCAGAAAATAATTTGAATGATAATGCAGATGATGATCTTTCTGACGTCGAACAAATATCCAACAATGAAGAATATGAAATGAAAGGAGGAATGACGCTGGTGAAAAGACAAAAACCAAGGATATTATGCTCAGTTAGATTTAATAAAAACAAAGATCCTGAAAATTACTGTAGAGAACAAATTATGCTTTACACTGCTTGGAGAAATGAAACGACAGATCTTCTGAAGGACTTCCAAACTTACCAAGATCGGTTTGAAGTTGTCAAAGATGTGATCGAGCAAAACAAAAAACAATACGAGAATCATACCGAAGCTCTTGATCAGGCAATACAAGATATTGAAAGTGACGAATTTCCTAACGTAGTTGCTCCCAATGCTCAATATCGAGATGAACAAGACAAAGATATTGGACCAAAAGCGACTGAATTATTTGGATGTTTCGATCCAGGAAAAGATAAACAACATGTTGAATACGACTTGATAAATGATATTGGCATATATCCAAGAACAAACGATGATGAAGAACTTGTTGTGAAGAGATTGAAAGATGCTGATTTTAGAAAACTTGTGCAGTCTCTTAATGTTGAACAAAAAGAGTTTTTTTACCATGTACTGAACTCTATTAAAACTGATAAGTTGCCATTAAGACTGTTTTTAACTGGAGGTGCCGGTGTAGGTAAAAGTACTGTCACTAATGCTTTGTATGAAGCTCTTACAAGATACCTAAATTCTCAGCCAGAAAATGATCCTGATGATGTCAGTGTGGTAAAAGTAGCTCCAACAGGCAAAGCTGCATTTAACATAAGAGGAAATACACTTCATCCAGCATTTAAGATTCCTGCAAACAGAGGTTTTAATTATTGTACACTAGATAGAGACAGATTGAATACAATAAGATCTAAACTACATAAAATGAAAGTTGTGTTTATTGATGAGATATCAATGGTAGGCAGTGGAATGTTTAATTTTCTTGACTTGCGATTGCAACAAATTATGGGAACAAAGGAACCTTTTGGCGGCCTTAGCATAATAACTGTTGGTGACTTGTTTCAACTTAAACCCGTCTTTGATCATTGGATATTTGAGAATTCAAAAGATGGCTATACTGCGTTAGCAACAAATCTCTGGCAACAGTATTTTCAAATGTTTGAATTATCAGAAGCAATGAGACAAAGAGAAGACAAAGTTTTTGCTGAAATTTTAAATCGCATCAGAGAAGGAAAACACACTGAAACTGACATTGTAGTTCTGAAAGAAAGAATTCTGAAGCTTAGTCCCCAACATCCTGATTACCCAATAACTTCAACCCATTTATTTAGTACAAATATGGCAGTTGATCAACACAATCACGACATTTTTCATAAATCTACAAACGAGAAGGTTGACATAAAAGCAATTGATATTGTACTTGGAGATTTATCTGATGAATTAAAAGAAAGGCTTAAGAAGCAAATACCAAACGATCCTTCTAAAACCATGGGCTTGTACTCAGTTTGTTCTATACTAAAAGCTGCAAAATATGACCTTACGACCAACGTCTCGGTTGTTGATGGTATGACTAATGGAGCTGAGTGTATAATTAAGAAAATTGATTACCGAATACCAGGTTCATCAAGACCAAGCATTATTTGGGTTTTATTTCAAGAAGAACACATTGGAAAAGATTATCGCAAACAATACGCTCATCTTTACAACCAAAGTATAGAAAGACGATGGGTTCCAATTTTAGAGATAACCAGACAGTTCAGAAAACACCAAATGCAAGTTCTCCGAAGGCAATTCCCTTTAAGACCATCGGCAGCCAAAACTATTCACCGTTGTCAAGGTGATACATTAAACGAAGCCGTCGTTGACCTTCCATCATCTAAACAAGAACACATGCATTATGTTGCACTTAGCAGACTTAGAAGCATTTCGGGACTACATATTCTAAACATGAATGAAAATAAAATAGCTGTGAGCAAAAAGGTACAAGAAGAAATGACAAGACTAAGACGAAACTCTGTACTCAAAAGTCATATTCCATTTCTCTATAAAGATACTAGTGAAACATTTAAAGTATTATTCCGAAATGTAAGATCATTACATCTTCACGTTGCTGACGTTGCGAGTGATTACAATGTAAAAGCAGCGGATATTAATATGTTTGTAGAAACTGCTCTGTGTAGTAATGACGATAATGAATTGTATCAGATTCCAGGCTTTCAACTATTCAGAAATGACTTCATTTCAGATGGTACTAGAACACCTTACGGAACTGCAATCTACGTAAAAAATCATGAACAACTTATTTCGAAACCTTTAAGATGCAACCATAATGATGTAGAAATAACATTACTGAAAATACACCAACCAGTTCATAATTTACATGTTGTAGCAATTTATCGCTCTAAATCAAAGGTCAAAATTTCAACGTTCATAAATGCCTTAAAACATTTTCACTCTAGTTATATAAATAATCCAAATACACCTGTTATCATTCTTGGTGATTTTAATGTTAACCTTCTTGAAAATGCATCTGACAAAAATACACTTTCTAAATATTTAATCGAAGAAAAGCAATACGTGCAACTTATTAGCCAAGTGACAACTGACTATAAAACGCAGATCGATCACATATATACTAATATCCCCGAAAGAGTGAAAAGTAGTGGTGTTTTAGAATCATACTTTAGCGACCATAAGCCTATTTTTGTGTCACTTATTTGATATTTTAGTTATTATTAAATAATAATTTAGTATATTATATTGCGATAGCGGGAAGATAAAAGAACGTTAATCTTCTCACCATGCAAAGATTATATAAATGTCCAGCACACTAGATATATACTGACTCTGTGTTCCTCTCTATCGAGGATCATTGCCCTCCTTTATTTCGGAAGGGCCGATTTCCCTATTAACGCCCTATTAATTCTCGACAAAAGAAGATTTTCCCGTGGTGACTTAAAGACTTTGAAAAGGTAAGTTTTTTTTTTACAATTTCGTTTTCTTTTATGAGTTGATAGTACTTTATGTCCCTTTCGCAATTTTTCGCTCCTCATGCATGCATCATGCAGATTTAATGTTTGTAGCTACAGTGATTACGTATACATACTTAAATTCATTTTCTTTTTATTATTTCAGTGACATCAATCATGACCATCGTATTTAATAGACACTGTTTCACCCAACAGTATGAAAATAAGACTGGATATGAAACCTGCAATAAGGTATTGAGAGAAGAGTACATAAATTTAATACTTACTAAATTTGTAATCACAAATTTAAAATTGTTCTGCGCGCTGTTCAAAGTATGCGTTGTTGCTATAGTGTGTGCTATCGTCTTGATCTGATTCATCTGAAGTAAACTAACTAAATCATTATTATTATTATTGCAGATAAAATCACACAAATCCAAGAATAAAACTACACTATTGTATACCTTCAAGTGTCAATGATATATTTTGGAATTTACCAACTGGCTTTTGCTGGCAAGAACAGGGATGTACGACACCATAACATCGCTACGCACTCAAACGAAAGAGCAAATTCCAGAGTGAAAGACAACAAACGTTCAAGCTAAAACTACGATTCCACGAGAAATGAACGCTAGTGATATAGAAACATAAAATTTTTAATCCATGCCGAGTAGTTATGAACTGTCACTTTCTAAAATCAAGAGCCAGAAATCAGAAAGGCAAGAAGGGATTCTTCAGTAGAGAACTAACGTCAATCAGACACTATATTACTATATATATTTTTCCATATCCTACAAAAAAATATGATGAAGTTAAAGTCACAGTGTCATATCACAAATTAAACCTTGTCATGCACAAATATCTGAGTAAATGGAGAAATAAAGAACTCAAACAATTATATCGTCTCTATAATAGTAAAGTGGTTATGTGCGAAATAGTCATGTTGGTGTACATCGACAAATTTCCGTTATTTATAGACAAGTGTTGAAACACTTTTGAAAATTAATTTCCGTTTCGGCATGCACCGATTCCGCAACTATTAAACCATTCGTGCACATGCAGCATTTGATTACGCATGTTATTATAGCTTTTGCATAAAACTTTGCACTATCCTTGGATCCCTAGTTTCTTTTTTTCGGCTATGTATTCCAGTGAAGCATAGTGTTTTATTTGGAAACATTTGATGTCTTTGTCGTGTTTTGTAAGCAGTTTGATTTTTTTCCGAAGTGTACCGTTTCCACTTAGTAGTTGCACTTCGCGAATTGACAATTGTGTGTCGTCGTCGTTTCCCGAATCGTTTCCTGAACCTTTGGCATCGCCGAAGTTGTGTTGAGCGACGCGTTAGGGTTGTTTTGTTCGCTACAGCTGGATGTTTCTGCTGGTTGTATTTGAACCGAGTCGTTTTTTGTTTCAGTAGGGGTTTCATTTTGTAATATAAAATTTTGAAACACTTTATCATTTTTGCCGTTTATTTTTGCTACACTTCGGGTAGTTGTATAGGTGAGTGTTTTAGTTGGCGTGGGATCTTTTGCTGGCATATTAAAGAGGTCGGTGTGGATGATTTGTTGTTCCGTAGCTTTGTATTCGTCGTAGAAACGTTTCCATAGTGTGAATTTTTCAGCAAAGGAATTACAAGGAAATGGTGGTTGAAATTGTGTGAAATTAATGTACAAATCCGAGAATATCGACATATTGCACCTCGTTAATTCCACACCCACGTAATTTACGAACTGTAAAAATTCTGTTGTGGCCATCTTGAAGGTTGCTTGTGAAATAATATGTAGTTGATATTGTGGGTTATTAGTATTGTTTCGTTTATGACGCGTAATTGTCCTTATATGGTGTACGTAATAATATAGTTTGTGGTGTTATTATCTACATAAGGGTATGGAATTTTAATTGTGTGTTTTTTAGCTTTGTTGTGTAATAATAGGGTCTGTTGTGTTATTATCCAAATTTGGTAATGGAATTTTAATTGTGTTTTTCTAGATGGTTAGTGTTTGGCAGCGTGTGGCGGTTGTAATGGTTTTTGTATTTTTGTTTTATATTTTGTTTGGTGCTAAGAAAACTCTAGAATTGCTATTCTTGTTTTTTGATAAAAACTTGGATGAATTATATTACTGTGAAGCGGAGTACGAATGAAAAGGTACAAACGAACAAATGTCAAATATGAATAATGCGTAAGTTTTAATTATTTTTAAATTTTTTAAATAGTGGGAACATGATAGAATTTGCAGAATGTTTAGCCCGAGAATGGATGAGAAGATGAATCTCCTGTATGTGTACGGGCATTATGCAGAAGATATTCCAACCATTACGATTTTTCACAAAGATACAATGTATTGCAACGTAACAGGTTATATGTATATGGGTCCAAAAACGTATATAAAAGACTCGCTTACTTAGCATTAAGAAAATAGAACTAATTCGCGACAAGGTGACAAACTATAAATTAAATAGCCCCTTCAGTAAGGGGCTATATAAGCATTGGGAATTATTTTATTGTCACGGTGATGCTTATGATACAGGTTTAATGGAGCGTATAATTCATAATGTAACAGGATATTTTAATGACAAAGATTATTCTATAGAACATGTTGAGAAACTGCAACAAATGATTCTAAGTGACGAGGAGTATGGTGTATTAGTTTCACCACCTGTTATAAGGGAAATGTGTAAATTTTTTAGAATAATTTGAGCATTTAAATGTTTTTAGATCCGCTGTAATAAAACCATATTTTAAAGAAGATGGTAAAATAATTAATTGCATAGTTTTGGTGTATGATGCAAGTTATTGGCCTTTGACATTGACAGCTGGTGTTCATTTGTTTATAGACAATAAAATATATGATATAAAAAATATGTGTATTTGGTGGAAATGAAAAATTTTTACGATTGGGTGCTTTGTGCTGCTAGCATGGGTGAATTTGTATTATATGAGGTTTCTTTGACGTATTATGAAGATAAATGTATTAATTTGAAATTTGATTCTCTTGATAGAACCGCACATTGTCTAGAGGAATATTTAAATATAGAATTGTGTGAAATATTAGACAGGGACATTAACCCTTATGACGTATATAGAAAAACACTTTATTCACCCTTATTAATATTGGAGTTTCAAAAACAATTTTGTCAAAGAAACAAGACGATGAAGGAACTTGGAATTGAATATTTATGAGTTGTAACTGTTGTGTATTTAAAAGTGTTCAAAATTGTAATTTGTTATTTTATCGTCCTTTTGCATACGTACAATGGGATGAAAAGTTAATAAAAGTTTTACATGTTGAAAATGATCTTAAAGTGTATGAATGGTACAGACGGTTGTTTGAGCATGCAGTGAAATTTTGGGCATATTTCGATACTACCATCTTCTATAGACAACGTTATACCAAGTTACTGTTGGGGGATCGTATACAAACGCTTGCCAATTATTACATTTATTGTTATGACTATAAGATACGATTTTCGGGTGAACGTGAAATCTGTGTCGGTGTGATTGACTGGATGGGGCATGTTTTTATTACAGCGGAAATAGTCTGCGGTGTGTACCCCAAGAAGGTTAAAGCTCGTGGAAAGCAATATATTGTGTTGAATAATGTACGCAATATTGTTACGTTACGCGGTTATACTACATTGAAAGATTCGTATGATTCAAATGGCGCAAAACCCAACCCTCGAAATTCGCCTCGGCACTCGGTAATTGCCGACGCAAATGCCGAGGCAAGTTACGATTTTTCATAGTTTGCCTCGGCAAAGGCAATTCCACCCGCTGTTCCTTAAATTACAAACTACAGTGTCTGTTCGTTTTTTTCTTCTTAAATATACAAACTACAGTGTTCATTTTTTGTATCACTTCTTTGTTCGAATTGTTGTCATCGACGTCCAGGATGAACAACAGAAGATTTCATTCATAGCTACTTTACAAAATATTTAAATTTGAGCTTTTCAGCGTCGGCTTCGGTTGAAATAAAGAACAATCTTGATGGTTTAAAGACGGTACGTCGAGAAACTTTGTTTTATCTTTTAGACTGTCGTGTGATTTTACCATCAAGTTTATTCTTTCATACAATTGGTTGTAAATTACCACTAACTTTTTAAAAACCTTTTGAATCAGGAATTTGTAAAATAACAACAAATTGTCGAACGTCAGAAGTCTCAGAATCTACGCTCGCTATAATATTTGTTTACAATAATTTCCGTATGTACTTTACTTTAATTACAACTGCCGACGTGGATGCCGAAGGGTGCCGAAGTAATTGCCGAAGGAATTTAAGGTGATTTCATTGCGTGCCTCGGCAAAAAAAATTGCCGAGGCAAACTCGAAAATTATCGAAAGGCTTCGGCAATTATTTGCCGAGGCAAAAATAGTTGAATTTTGAGGGTTGAAAACCACACGTCCTACGGATTTTGGACCAAGTTGTGTCGATTTTTATACAAGATTACGGGTATCACGAGGATAGAATACAACAAACTGTTTTGGATGATATAGGGGAGTGTTTGTCGCTTAGATTGACACAGTTTTGAAAGTACGCAATACATTTGCAAAGAACAGTGCTATATTTTTGTCGGAGTAACTGTAAATGCGGCGGGTTTTCGGATGAATGCTATTGTTTGATACCATGTTCGTGTTTGGAAGTATATGTGGACGCACACAAATTTAGTAGTGATGAGGTGTTTTTTGGAACCCAAATGTCCAAAGGCAAAGAAACTTTATAGGCTAATGAGGAAAATGAGTTGGTCGTTGTATGGGTACAAAGTAATGTGTTATGATCGGTTATATGATGATGTGGACAAATGGTTGTTTGAAACACAATGTTTAATAGATGAACCGAACCGTATTATAACTATTTATACAACTTTAAAGGGTTTAGATAAAGATGTTTATGCACATAGTTTATGTAGTACTATTATAAAGTATGGGTATGCTATGTGTGATGAGGGTTTATATAAGCAGCGGTCGGTGGGTTACAATATAGAATATGAAAATTGTGAACATGTTACAGGTTTTTTAGGGTTTCGCGATATATATATCGAAATGTAATACAGTTTATTGTTTATGACAATGTGCGTGTATCTGAAAACATTGATGGTTATGCTGTTGAAAAAGTTGTAGAGTATTGTGAAAGTTTACATAACATATTAATTTCACCGCTTTTAGTTTATAAAATAATGATTTATTTACAACAAATGAAGCGTGTAATGATAAATATGGACATGACGTGTAGTTGTAGTAACGTAAGTATTTGTACTTGTACTAGTCGTGAAAAGTTAGAAGAGTGGGAATAGTATTAAAAATTTTTTTGGTATAAATTTTTTTATTTGGTTGTGTTGCTTGTGTTGAGATGGAAGCGTTTTTTCAACTTCAACATTGTGAAATAAGTGAGAAAGTGTTAAAAAACGTTTGAGATGCACGTAATACTTTAAAATTGCGTATAACACACATCATAGACTGCGAAGCTTACACATGGCATAAAAAAAAATTTTTACGCGAAGTTTCCGTATTGTGTAGATTAACAAATATTGTTACAACGTATCAGATTTACATTCCAAATTTCGTGTTGTTTGATGAAAGTGATCGTGGGGTGCGCTACCAAATAAGGGTAATACATGGACGACCCATTGAAAGACGTCGTGTCAACGATAATTTTTATTTATATCACGAAATGATCGGTATGTTGCGTAAAATATTTGAAAGTGCTGATTTAGTGGGTTACAAGGGTGGAAATATCGAACGTGATTTGTTGAATATGCTAGGTGTTTCGTGTATTAATATGGAAATTATGGGGTGTCCAAAGTACGAACGCTTATTGTTGAAATATGACGTCAAGTGTGAAGATTGTGGGTATCATATTGCAACAGGCAAATATCATTGTAGTGGGCACAAAGTGAAGTTATTTTCACAATTTCTTGATGCAATAGGAGTTATTGTGGGACACCATTAAATTTACAAGCACTGGGTGAATTACTTGAAAATAACTATTTTGATCCGGTGTTATGGTCTTTATATTCAACATGTAGATATTTTTATAATAAGAAACTGCAAGATTTGGGTACGAGAGAAATTCGTATTCGAAATTACAGTAGTGCGTATATTTATGAATTAAGTGATGAAAGTGTCGTCGAAAGCAAATCTTTGTTGTGGTTAAAGGGTGATCTTGCGGGAATACGCGATTTGATGATCTACGATAAAAACACACCAAATTATTGTTTGGTTGGACTAGATTGTGAACAACCCATAGAAGATCAAATTGATGACCCCAGATCCAATAAAACATTTTATATTATTCCTGCGGAGTGGATGCATTATATCTATGTACGATTTGAAAACGAGTCTTGGGCTATGTATTTGGCTGCGAAAAAATTTTGTTGTAGACAGATTTTGGTGCGCGGGAGTGTAATGATTGCTCGATGCGAGAATATTAGTATCAAACCAGAGTATGCTGTGGTGGATAAACGCTGTTCCTTTTGAAAATTATTTTCATGTTGGTGTTGGTGAATGTTCAAACGAGATTCATGACGTGCTTGTGGACGTGGGTATATTTGTAAACGGGAGACAATTGTATGATAGAGTAAGTTTGCTTGCACACCCCTACGGTAAAGAGCATGAGGTAATTTATGCTTTTTGTCAGTGCATGAAAAAATATTTAAATTTAATTCTAATGATGAATTAATTTCTGGTAAATTTTTGAAATTAATGATGAGGCATTTGTTAGTGTGTCGAAAGTGTAATATGTATGTGGATACACTGATTGAAATGATTTGTACCACTTTAGTTAAGCATGATACCCTAGAGGGTGTTATGAATGAAACTGATAGTGCAGATAAGATTTTAGCAGGTAATGTACCCAATTATTTGTATATTTTGGACGGTGATTGTTAAAAATTAAACCGTTAAAAATTTTGTCGGAAAAAACACGGAAAAACGTGGATATTTGTAAGGATATTATTGAACCGTTTTTTCAACAACATTGGTAGTATTATCTATATAAGGTTATGGTATGCAGTAGTATCATATTACAGCATTAGAAAATTAAAGCATTAAAAAACATTTTATATTTTTTAAAAGATGTCGTCGCGTACTTATTTTTTCGAGTCTGTATCACCACTGTTTAAAAGTGTAAAATGGGAGAGCTTAGTAGCAGTATTACAAGAAATGGGGATGCTCTATTTTAAATATTACAATACGGACTACAATTGTGTGTGAAAATTGTAGGTGTTGTTCAATTTGCCGACCGTGTAAATATGAGAAAATTGCGGACGGCAATGCTCAATGTTGAATTTCAGACATCATATCTAGAATGTGTACGACTTCCTATGGTTTTACCTCATTTACGAATATGGTTGCTATGTTTGCATCATGATCTTCCCGAGTCAGAAATTAAAGAGCGTGGTAATTTTGCATTGGGTGGTAGAAATCGAGATTTAGAAGATGATATGGCCCCTTATAGAGCGTTGTTAAAGGATTTTATGAAAACTAAAGATTATACACTTTGTGTACATTTAAAGGCGGGTCGTAAAATATGCAAGTATGCTGATGCACTAGATAGGTTGCCCATTGATGGGGTATAATATGTGGGTAAACATTTTTTTAGATCATTATTGACTGTGCGCTCATGAAGTGCATAGCGAGTTTTTTATTGTGGCGCGGGACCAAATTTAAAACTGTGTGGGTTATTTTAAAACCCTAAATCCATCAATGTAAATAATGTCAAAGTTATTATTTTTTATCTACAAACGCCCAAAATTTAAACACACCGTATAAGGGTAATAACGATGGATATTTTAAAATAACGGGTGTGGCGGATTTTCTAATAAGGTAGAAAAAAAAAATAGCGTGTATAAATAGTGTGTTTGTCTGCAAGATTGGTTTTGTATAATTGCATCGGTTTATGAAAACGTCAATTAAAATAGATGTGCGCAGATGAACCCAAGAGAAGGAATAAAAAAAAGGTACAATTTTTTCTATTTTTTCTATTTTTTATTGATAATATTGGTAGATTGTTGGTAGTTTATTAACAGGTTTTCTGCGTGTTCGTAAATTTCCACCTTGTTGTGTCCCGAACCATGCGCGATCGGTATCTTGTATGCATTTGACAGCTTTTCTTTTAACTACTTTTTTCTTCTCAGCCATATATCGATGTAGAAACCCCTTTGGATTTAACAACATTTGTTGTAATTGTAATTGTTTTTTGCGTACAGCATCTGTTCTTCTTTTAAGATTTGGTGTAGCGATAGGATTGGGTAGCTTTGCGCTTGCCATGTCTATGTTGAACTGATAAAATTATTAAAGTATTGCGAGTATTTATTGCCAATATTCTGGACCATACGATGTGAAGATCTCTTGATTGGGGGGTATATAATTTTACTAGCTTTTAAACGAAATATAGTTCGTCGACCTTCTATTTTAGCATTATTTTGAAATGGTGTTTTACGAGCGTCGTTAGCGAATCGTGGCGCCCCATCGGTGGTATAATTTGAGTCAATACATTGTCCACGAGGGTTGCAAATTGCATATTTTGCCGTCACGTTGTTCCCGTAACATTGATCCAATTGTTTTTTTGTTATTTGTCTTCCTGTGTATTTGCCAATGGTATATTACCCCGCGGAATTTTTTTTCCACGTATATATCCCTTTCCCCCCACCAATAATCTTTGAGGGTTTAATACGTAAATTATTTTGTTTGGCAAGATGAATCCAACATTTTTCGGTATGTGCCGTACGTTTACGACACTGTTTATCTTTTAGAGTATTAGCAACACATTGTTGTGATTTTCGAATACTTTGATTATTTTTTATGATTCGTGGCTTTTCGTATACATTGTTTAAAAAATTTTAAATAAATTTTTGACGTTTTTTCGACATTTAGAAGACAACCACCACACCAATATATCCTCTCAATGTTGTTTTCAATATAATCAACTATTCTGTTTATTTTAGATTCCACGTACGGCGTTACGCCATGTGATTGCTTAAGCGACGTCAAGCGAGTACGTATATCCAACGGTGACACGTAAACTGTATGCTCACCATCATTGGCCCAATCCACGAACGCTTCGGGAAAAATATGCTGTGAAAAAATCATTTGGTCGCCGTTATCTTCTGAAACTTCATATGTGGGTACGTATTTATCTTTGTTATTTTTACTATGATCATTTTTAAGATATATAGTAATGTGTATTAAAGCATCGCTGTTCATTTTTACACAGTCTCTTGTAAGAAAGTTGAAATGGGTATGGCTATGGGTAAATTGTTTGGGGGTGGTGATAAACCCCTTATTAAGGTACGTTGTGTGTTTATAAATAGGAGTAATGATGTGGTTGTGGACAAAGACGGTGTAGACGGTGAGGAATAAAACACTGACAATACCGAAAACGACAACGCTGAATATAGAACTTGTTGTTGTATACAATGGCGTCGAAAAGGAAAAACAACGCCGACGGTGGTGGAGAACGAACATATCGAAAGTTGAACAATGAAGATTTACAGAAAATCATCGATATGGTAAGAGTTAACAATGATAAAACGTGTATCCAAATCACCCCAAAACGTATTGCCGATATCGCTAAAATGGCTCACGAAAATAAATTGCAAAGGAATATGACAAAACAATCGAGGGAAAAAAGAAATTACAATGTGGAAGATAGAGATATTCACGAGATAGCACGCATTGTCGAACAGAATAGGAAAAATGTTCAAATACCTAGAAATGTGTTTCGTGTAGATCAAATACAGTCGCACCGCTGTTTTGGGTACAATGAATACGTTTATAATGTTAGAATAAGGCGCTGGAAATGTAACAACACTTCCTGAATTTTATAATAGTCTTCGTGAAATATTTAATTATTTAATTAATACCTTGAATTATATAGCTAGTTCGCCGACGGATAAAGCACGTTTTTATATCTCTAACGCCCTGCGTACAGCATTTTCAACAGCTGTTTTAAACGTTTCCGATTTTAATGTTGATATGTTTTTTGATATTTTTGAAAAACATATGCAAAGCAACGCACAAGAAGTAATTGATGATGGGTGGACCACGACAATTAGTTTGTATATTTTTCCAAATAATTATGTGCCAAAAGCACCGTGGGCAAAAAAAAAAGAAAAAAGTTGCCATTTACAAAGATGTTGGAAAAAATGGTTCGGATGTGGGTCGCGGTAGAAAAAATTGTGTGCCGCAAAAACATGGGCGTGAAATTCGAAACGGTGTTTCTCAAATTATTTCAAAATCAGATTGTTGTTTTGCCCTTGCAATATTGACGGGTTGCTCTTTTCTTAATAAAGACAAACAATACGATAAACTAAACCTCAATCGTAACACAACGCTTGAAGACCTTTATACAAACGACGAAATTACAGACGTTTACGAACAAAGTGGTTTAAATAGGGGTGGTGTTCGCATCGATCAATTGTCCGGTGTTTACGAGGGTTTTTTTTAAGCGTGCAAAATATTGATCTAGTTGTGTTTTCCAAAAATAACAACGATAATATTGTATATGATTCGCGTATGAACAACACCAATACTATTTGTCGAGCAAATTGAAGAGTTATATTTTTATGGCTTAATGACGGTCATTATAATTTGATACTTTCACCACATACATTTTCAAAATTAAATGCTGGAAAATTTTGTTTTAGTTGTATGCATTATTTAAGAGGTTGGGAACATATTGTTCGCATGTGTGTGGAACATGTTTTTCTTGTGTAAATTGTTATAGTAACAGTGAAAACTGTGTGGGTGAAGAGGGTTTTTTTATTCAGTGCCCTTACTGTTTTGTAAATTTCAAAAATCGTGATTGTTATATGCGACATTTTACAAAGAGGGTTTTTTTATGCACGTCAAAGGAAAAGGGGTATCGTGTGACACCATGTAAACAGATGTTTTTCGTAAAACGTGTTATAAGAAAGTTACACATATGACCGTGATCGGGAAAAAAACAACACGCCACAACTGTGATATGATGTATTGTAAACATTGTGACGCAATTAAAAAAAAAACACCAATGTTTTATGAAAGTTTGTAAAGTTGCCAAGAAACCTAATTTGCCGACACTTTATTTTTTTGATTTTGAAACACGTAAAGATAGTGAGGGTTATATGATTCCATTTTATGCGGTCATTCAAAAAGTGTGTCACTTATGTGATGAAAAACCATTTGTAAAAAATTACGAACATTTTTTACCACACCCTACCGACTCAACGTGTGACATATCGGTGGAATGCGTACCATGCTGCGGTTACCGACAATATGTTTTGGAAAAAAAATGATTGTATTACTAAGGAATTTATTGATTTTATGTATGCACAACCTAAAAATAGTGTTTGGATAGCACATAATGGCGGGCATTTTGATACGGTGTTTTTACTTCGCAAATTATTAGTTGAAAGAAAAATTGTACCTCAATGTATCATGAACGGAAATAAGATTATGTGCATGGAATTAGAAGATCGAAATTTAAAAGTGATTGATAGTTTTTTATTTTTCAATATGGCTTTGAAAAAATTTCCAGAGGCCTTGGGTATTCCAAATATTTGTAAGGGGTTCCATCCATACCTTTTTTACGACTTAAACTATATAGGGCCTATGGTTGGGTTGGAATATTTTGACCCGCCGGCCGAGGGTTCTAAAGAGCGTTTAAAATTTGATGCGTGGTATAATGAACAAAAAGAAAAAACGTACGTCTTTAAAGAAGCTATGTACTATTATTGTCGGTTGGATGTTGACATATTAAGGCAGGGTTGTATTATACTTGCGCGACTAATTAAAAACATAACCAAAGTGTTTCATTTTATGATAAGACCTGTCATACAATAGTGGGTTTAGCATTGAAAGTATATCGTACTAATTTTTTAAACGAAGATACTATAGGGCAAATACCCGCACGGGGATATGGTGGTAATATCAAGCAAAGCACTATTGCTTTATATTGGTTAAGAGAGGTTGAGAATAACCTAGCTGGGAACACGTTGTATAGTAAGCTATCCCCTAATGGCGAACACAATATTATGTATGGGGCATTATGTGGACAGGTATTGTCCGGAAATGAACAGAATTTATCAATTTCACGGATGTTTCTTTCACGGTTGTAAAACTTGTTATGATGGTGAAATGGTTAACACAGTTCTTAGTGAATCGTTTTATACATTGCGTGAACGTACACAACGTATTACAGAAAAATTTAAAAGTAATGGGTACACGGTTGTTGAAATGTGGGAGTGCGATTTTGTCAATGAGAATAAATTAACTCAAAACACGCTTAAAATACTAAGACAAAGAGATTTTTTTATCAATACTAATCTTAATCCGCGCGATGCCTTATTTGGGGGTTGAGTTTCACCAGCAGTCATGTATGCTGTAGCGGGTCGTAAAAAAAATGTTATAATGATTTTACTTCTTTGTATCCCTTTGTTCAAAAAATCTATGAATATCCCACAAAACATCCTGATATTGTATGTGGTGTTGAGAAGTGTGCAAAACTTAATCTAGGGTTTATATTTGGGTTGATTAAATGTAAAATACTACCACCTACAAATCTCCTATTTCCTGTTATCCCCTATCGTACAACTAAGTTAACGTTTCCACTGTGTCGTACGTGTGCCAATAATCTATGTGATACATGTACACATAATGAGGAGGAAAGAGTTTTATATGGTACGTGGACTAGTATCGAAATACAAACAGCTATAAAACAGGGTTATATTGTAAAGGAAGTTTACGAAATATACAATTACGCACACCGTGAGAAAATTTTTGACACGTATGTCAACACCTTTATGAAATTAAAACAAGAAAGTAGTGGGATACCAAAAAATTGCTACGATGCAGAGGGTAAAGTAAATAATGAAAAATTAAAAGAATATGTTGGGGAATACTTAAAGCATGAGGGTGTGGAATTAGATGTGGGTAAAATTTCATATAACCCCGGTCAAAGAACAGTAATGAAGGCTTTATTAAATTCATTGTGGGGTAAATTAGCGCAAAATGAGGACACAACCGTGGTGTCGTTTTTGGATCTTTTTGACAAATTATTAGAATTAGTAAATGATAATAGTATTGAGGTAACATCGTTAGATTTTATAAGCGACGATGTAGTGAGAACAACACATCGAAAGATTGCGTCGTTGGTAACCCTACCTAATAGAAATGTAGTTATAGCATCTTTTGTGACAGCTTACGCGCGTTTAGAACTATTTAAAGTTTTACATAAATTAGGTGATGGTGTGCTATATTATGACACCGATTCGGTGATATATGTCGATGTAGAAAAGACATGTTTTAGAAACGGGTAGTTATTTGGGGGGATTAACTGATGAATTATATGATAAAAATGCCAGTGAAAAATGGATTGAAACATTCTGTGCCACGGGTCCTAAAGCATACTCGTATCGTACCAACGAATATATTTACACACACGAAGATGGAATGTGTGAAAAAAAACGTGATGAAATTGTACATGTGAAGGGGTTTTCGTTAAAAGGGGACACTAAAAAAAAATCACTTTTGATAGTATTAATCAATGTGTGCGCGATCGAAAAAAAGAAATTAGTACAAGTTATACAGAATTTACGCGGTCAAATAATCAAACTATAAATGTTCAAAAAGCCGAAAAAGTATTTCGGTTTATATTTGATAAACGTATTATTCGTAATGATTTTACAACTATTCCGTACGGCTATATTGATTCGTGAATTTTTTTATAGGGTTGTGATTTGAAATGTTGCACGATACCGTTTCAACACCCGTTTATGATGACGCTGTGCGGGCCTTCTCAAAGTGGAAAATCACATTTTATTGAAAAGATAATAAAAAACCACAGGGCTCTAATAGAACCACCAATCGACAAACTGATATACCTTTACTCTGTGGACAATTATGACGGTATCAAACAGTACATTCGTGACAACGAACATACCTCAACACTTAAGACGTTTGAATTTATTGATTGTAATAAGGGTATACCGTCATTAGAAACAATGAAAGAAAAATTGGGTAAAAACACTCTATTAGTTTTGGATGATTTGATGGTGTTAGCAACAACAAATTCTACAAATCTTACAAATTTAAATAATATTGCATCACGGGACAGCCATCATTCAAATACCTCTGTGATTTTTGTATGTCAAAATTTAAATTTTGGTTAAGGAAAATTACGAAATTGTCGCGTGAATAGTCAGTATCACGTTATGTGTAAAAGTTTAACAGATTTTAGAGATGTAGAAATGGTTGCTGCAAACAAAAAAATATGTCAGGGTAAATTACATAAAGTTCTTGAAGACATTGGTAAAAAACAATATGGGTATATTGTATTTGACGGGTGCCCAAAGGGATATGCAAATACACGTGTAAGAACGGAAATTTTTCCCCAAGATGAAACTGTTATATACGATTTGTAAAAAAATAAAATCATTTTTTTGTTTTAACTTTGTAATTGATGTGCTTCTACATACGATTTACATATTTGACCTTTGCTACTACTACATTTACGTTCATATAATTTTTTTAAAGTGTAAAATAGCGAATAACATGTTTGTTGCAATTGCTGTTCATTTTGCATTAAATCCTCAATTTTACGCGTAAATATTGAAGTACGTATAATATGCGTACCCGCTTAATAGGATTTTAAAACTAACAAACACCAACTTCCACAAGTTCTACTAATATGTGATTGAATTTGTGATGTATTATATAATTGCATTTTACATTTTAATTTTTCAAAGTATTTTTCCCAATAATGTCGTTTAAAAAAGTATGGTGTTTTACCATAACTATCAAAAAAGTAAATTATATTTTTCTCTTTCACAACGGCGACCCAATGCGTTCCGGGTTTATCTTTTTCATCCACATTCCAAATCCAACATCTTTCAGCAGCAACACCTTTGGGTTTCATATTGGCAGGATAACACCCCAAATAATATGGTAAAATATCTGCATCTTTGTGCTTGTTGGTCCAAATCATCAGTATTTAGAAATTTACTAAGAAAACATGTTAGTTCGCCCATCACGTGTCAAACATAAAGCTGTGTGGTTTACCCTTTTTACTTTTCAAGAAAGATAGTGGTATACCCTGTGGTGGGGTGATGTAGGGTGGTGGTGGTGACGCCGGTTGAACCGTTGTCACTTGAGACATTGTTGGTGTTCCACTTCCACTGTCCAATTCTCTATACTGATTTCGAAGATTATCACTACGTATATTACCCGGTTTTTTTAATTCTTTTAATAATAATTTAGCGTGTTGTCCCGCAGTTAGATTAGTATTTTTTTTCTCAACATTTTTTGTAAGATCAGCTAGCATATCGTCGAAAGCAATTGGAAGTGTTTTATTTCCAAATTTTACACCTTTATCTGTTTCAACAACACCTTTTTTTTAAGATGCACACGTATTAGATTTTCTGAACTTGCCAACGATCCCTGTTTGGGTGCTGCACCACCACTTCCGGCAGCAGCTACTGAAGGTTAACAGCTGCAAGTTTGTTTTGCTCTTTTAGATAATTCTTCATTTTTTAGAATAATTAATAATATCGTCGGTGGCATAAGGTGCTTTATGACCCACGCTGGAAATCATGTTTGCGTGACTTTCAATTAATTCCCCTTCGGCGGCTGTTTGTTTTGCATCGCCTAGAATTTTTCTGTCGCTTACTAGTTTTTCCAGGGTTTTCATCATCGTGTTGTATTTCTCCGTGTCTATCAGCGTTAGGCGTTTCACATCGTCCCCCATCGCAATCAGCGTAAATATTTTGAACAGCTTCTATATTTCTAAGTGCTTGTCTACAACAATGTTGAACAGCAAATTGTTCAAGTGAATGTAAACGCACGTCCGCTCGGGGGTGTAGATCTATCCGAAATGTATGAAAATAACGCTTTATCAACGCCTGATATATCTGTAGGTATTTTACTGTTTGCTATATTACAACATAAAAAAACCAAATGTTTAATTATTTGTGGGTTGTCGTTGAGCATTTTTTCTCTTTTAACAAAACAACCATTTACAAATTTTTTGGTTAATGGTAAAAATCGATCTTGTTTTCGTTTTTGAATATTCACACGTTGTGCATCCCAAATTTGTTTTAAAAATAAAGCACACGTTTCATTATTTATTTCTTCCTCTTCTTCATCTATATCGGCATCATAATCACTGTCCGAGTATTCACTTCGTCCGTCAAAACTATCATCATCATCACAAGTATTTACGAAATTTTTGTCAACATCATTATCACAATCATCATTAGTTTTTTCACAAACAACATCATCGTCGAGGGTAATTTCATCTTCAGAGTTATTTTCTTCAGAGAGTGTTTGTTCCTGTTTGCGGGTTAACTCAGCCATATTTTGATATTACAGGTTTGACGTGAATTGTTTGCACAGCAATACCACCCCAACCAATGACGTGATTACGCCTTGCACCGGGTATATGTAAAATGTTTCGCGGTGTCTTTTTGTTCAACCTTTTCCGTTTAGCGGACATGTTTGTATGACGCGTTGATCATTTAATACGCGAATTTTAAACGTGCTTCCATTTGGTATGCACAAGATAATTGATTTCTAAATTCACCAATAACTATCAATTGACTATTAGCTGCAAGGTCTTGGGAAAGACGTACTTCAATGCTAACAATGCCGCTGGTAGTATTGGGTAGTATTTGATTGTAACTGTCTTTGTTTTCAGTTAAATCAAGAGCAATAAAGCCATAATCTGTTAAATAATCATCATAATTAAATGGCATTTCATCGTGGGTACGATTCAAAACACAACGTAAATTAATATATGCTTCACGAGAATTTTCAATAGTGGGTTCAATAAAAGCTTCGTTAATTTTAACACCCAAAAATTCCAAATGGGGAAAAATCATTCGATTTGGATTTACAGTGTGTGCGCGCCATTATATCGTGTTTGTGTACGAATATACACAAACATTCCTGTAGGTCGGGCACCCGTCAAAAGATCATTTTTTACAATTTTACGAGTTCCCATTGAAACGGGTACGGGTACATAGCGGTGGTGGCGAACATAATATTTTGCTTCTTTACCTTTTTGAATCATAGCCATATTAATGGCGGCCATTAATTGCGCTTTTGGTTTAAATGCTGGAACATGAATTTCTAAATCGTGAAAACAAATTTTTGCTGCACCACAATGACCCGCATCGCCAAACATGGTTTTAGTTTTTTCCAAACGTGTTAATATATTGCACAATACTATCACCACTACCCGGAGTGTTGTGAATACATCCCGTTATTTTTTCTTCGGGTTTATACCCGCTAGGTACTTCGCGTGTTAAATGATCAAGGTAGGCAATTTCATTTTCTTGTGATGACAATGAATTAATGCATTGATTATTTAATAATATTTCTCTTGATTTCCAACCCATTCTAAGTGGTGATTGACCCAATGCGACAATTTGATCATTACCCAAATCAGCAATTATCTGCTGCTGTTAATGCAATTGTAGCTTTAATTTTAGCATTTTGAAGATCCATGACACCATAATTGTTAGGTGCATGAACAAATGTATATTCTTCAGCATCGGGATTTGCAACAGGTCCCGCAATTAATTTAATTTTACGACTATCCACAAATGTGTCATTATGTGGAAATGTGGGAAACATCACCATAGGTGACATAAACCCACTATCGTGAACTTCAATGGGTTCATCTTCGGGTTCGTGTGCACGCTTCATTGTATGTGTACTCTGTGAGACTTAAGATGCGAATGATGAATAAAAACACAAATGATACAAATTTATAATTTTTATTTTTCATAAATTACATTTTAATAATACCATCGTTTTGTTCGTTTGCTAACACGTCCTCCTTTTTGTTTTTTTTTGCGATGTCTGTTTTGTCCGTGTTGGTTGAGGTGGTGGGTAGTATTGTTGACGTGGTTGCGGTCGAAAATAAGGTTGTGGTTGTGGATAATATTGCAGTGCGGGACGATAATATTGTCGTGGTGGACGATAGTATTGTTGTTGTTTTTGTTGTCTGCCACCGCCATAATTGTTGGTCACTTGATTTTTTTTTTTTACCAAAAATACCCGGTAATATTTTTGTTGCAGCACCTAAAATAGCGGGTATAGCTAAACCCGCAGCCATAGCTAAACCTGCACCACCACCATCTTGTTTTTTTTCCTCGTTGATGTTTTCCTCCCTTAAAATTTCCGCCACCTTGTCCTCGTTGATGTTTTCCCCCCTTAAAATTTCCACCGCTCAGTTTTGTTTTTCTCGATTTACATGCCATGTCCTTACACAATGTTAACCAAATTACAAGTAATCAATTATTTGTACAAGCATATCTATTTATTTCCAAAAATGTGTCGTAAAACGCTTGCATCAATCTGTGGTTGTGGGTGTGCCCGCAAACGTGCTACAGGTAGTTTTCCAGATCGACGTACTTTTGGGTTTGGTAAATAATTAGGGTTTAGTTGTGGCGGTGGACAAATACTTTCTTGCGAACATTCTTCAATACTTTTTACTGCTTTAGGAATATAAAGTAAGTTTGTACCAGGATGTTTTTGACCCCCACCATGTAGTAATTGATAATGTTGTTTTTCATTCATCTTTCATCGTCTTTGTTTTCAAAAAGATTAAAATGTAGCTCCAAATATTTAGTGTTTAATGATTTAGTGTGAGCGGGAGTATTATCTCCCCAAAGCATATAGAACTGAACGTTCTCTTTCAACTGTGTCAAGTCGCTGACAAGTAGATACTGGGGTAGTTTTTGTCGGGTATGGTTTATATTCATATTATTAGTGGTAGCATTACCATACATTTGTGTTATCAAATGATCAGACCATGTTATAGATTGCAAAGCGTTTGCACTCATAACAATAGAATGTCCTTTTACATTGGTAATTTTTCCTTTTGTCCACCGCCCAAGCACATTTTTTGTTTCGTTATTTGCCATACCGCTAAAATCCAATTTTCAAGCACACCACACACTACATTGATCAAAATTACCAAAACTTGATCTTTTACTCGCAATATTATAATACACATCGGTGGAAGTGTTTTCAGCACTACCCTTTAAATCATAAAACGTGGGAACCAGCTCGTTTCTAATAATATCTCATCTTATATGTAATGTGCCCATTATTCAATTATACACTCGATGCAACACTACCACCGTTAAACTGTATTAAATTATTCTCCATATTGCACACTCTTATATGTAGATTTTTTATTTGGGCATTAATTAATTCCCGTGAGATCGACGGTAAATCATGTGTGTACACCCCCCCCAACCATATCATTATTGGGTTCAATTTGTAATTGTGCTAATGACGGTGCACAGACATCGCCCACAGCAGAGGGTATAACTTCATCACAATAAATAAACATGCGTGTTTTTCCATTGGTCATATCGGGAGCATATTTACTATAAAAAAATACCACAATTTGTTTATGGCATTACCCCCGAAGTTAGCTATTAAAATGGTTGATAAAATTAATTCCATTTGAGTCAGTGGTTGGGGAGAGGTCCAAGAAAAACTACCGCCTTTGAATATGTTTGTAACATCTGGATGCATTACATACGCATCTAACCCCAGCATATATTTAAATCTTTGGTCATTTCAAAAGAGAAATCATTAGCTGTTTTTACAATGTATGCCACCTGCACCACACCATCGTTATCCCCATAACGATAAATGTATCTTGGTGAAATACCCAACGACACACCAACACGACCACCGGGTAGTACTGAAAAATGCATACCGTATTCTCCTACAAACCGATTTAATTCTTTAACCATTTTTTTAATTGTATAGTGTCTGCAGGGTAAATACATCCATTCTGTTTCGAATTTAATATAATCTTTTTGCACTACTGATGACGGGGTTGCAGGATTCCAATAAATCGTGTATGAAAACCGAATACCACACATTTATCTTCCACATTATCAATCATTAAGGGGTACGATACATTTAAAACACGTATAAACCGTTTTTTATTTTCACCCGTCGATTTGTTCAGGTAATGTCATTGTAAATTTATTATTGTAATTTACACCCCCCTTCTTGATTTTTTGTATTACTGTAGATTTGTACATTCATATTGGTTGCAATTCTTCACGATAGAATATACCCGTAATCTCCTCGTCGTTGTTATCCTTTAGTTTGTATGTGACAGGATCGGTAATGAGAACTTTGTCGATTACAAAGTTCTCTTTGCCCCAATGTCTTAGACTAGCTTTTTCAAAAATGCTATTTTTGACTCTTGCAATGCGAACCAATTTGACCCTCACGTAAGAGACTTACAGGGGGTTGTGAACCATTCAAGTAACTTTTTAGAATTTTAAATGTTAGAAACGGGGGTATTTTATCGTGTTTGTATAAATCTACAGGTTTTACATTGTAGATACCCCGGTGTGGGGACTCATTATATCTTTCAATTATAGTGGGTAGATATTTGATAAATCGATAACCCGATACTACAGTCAAGGTACAGCGAATCATTAATTTTAGTGTTTGAATAAATCTTTCAGTGTGTGACACTTTTATTTCACAATTTTGCATATGAAATAATTTTAAATTATTATTTTGGTGCCAGTTTTTTTTATATCATTAAATTCTGTAACTTCGTCTGCTTGTATTTTTTTGGGAGGTCCGTTTTCATGAATAATTTCTTCAAATTTAGCACAAACATTTTTGCCAGATTTTGTTTTTAGCATTTTTACAAAAGTGTAACGCATTGCCACATCAACACACACAAGGATATAACGATATTGATTATTATAACCCGATAATTCATTCAAGTCTGCTAAATCAATACTCCATTGTTCATTTTTGTTATACACACGAATTTTTAAACGTTTTATTCTATGTATTTTTTTAGCATGCAATGTATATAAGTTCTTTTGTTCCTTAGTTAATGTTTCACCTTTTAATAATCTTGCAGCTTTTTTAATAAGTTCAAAGTCATTACTTGCTTTTTTCAGCATCACTATAAAAAGATAAAAATTTACACTTTACTTTTATTTACACAATGGTAGTAATAGTTGACTACTTTTTCATTTGACTATACAAACCCTATGTAGTTATCATAATTATAGATTAATTTTAAATCATCGTTACGCGCTAAGACTGTTTTAACCGCCGAGTTCTCTGTGGGCATAAGTGTAACAATGGCTGCAATTACTTGATTTTGCTGAAAAAAAATTTCAAGTCAATATTTGTTGTTTATCTTTGAACTACTCATTTCAATATAATCGGACCAACCCAAAAAATCCTTGTAGGGGTAGGGAAACTGTTCATTCATTACATTTCCAAATTGCGCAATTGTTTCTTCACAACCCTTCTTATATTTGCACATAAATGCTAACATAATTTTTGTAGCACAACATAATTCTTGTGGTGTATTAAATTGTACTCTCACCTCACTAGTCGCTTCCTCATCCATCTGTAGAACTTTGGTTTTCTTCTTCTTCGCCTCACCACTTTTGGTATTGTTGTACTTTTGCTTTTTTGCTGGCTCCAACTGCTTTTGTTCCACAGGTGTTGTAGGCAGGGGGGTTGGTGGTATTACGTCAATACCTGCTGGGGATGAAGAATTTAAAACACTATATGCGTCGCAACAGAAATCACAAATAATATTGGCAATTTTTTTCCAATCGTTCTTATTTATATAAAATTTATCAAAACATTCCGACCAACATTCATTCGATGTGGTTGGGGTAGCTGTAGAGGGGTTCTGGATCCTCGATATCGTCGTCTTGGGTCTGTGAGAAATCAACAGGTGATTGGGTTTTTTCATTTTACATATTTTCAACCCATCGTATTTGCTGCATTTCAAGATTACACGGTATTCGTTACCAAACGAATCTTTACTTTCACCCAATTCTGCATAATTTGTTGCTTGACTGGATTTTGACATTGTGGGTAGCGCGTCAGCTAATGCCTCCATTTCATCGTGAGACATTTCTATACCAGAGTCGTAAATAAATGTATCCTCAGCGCTGGACATTTGCCCCACATGCAAACCACATTTTTTACTCCACTGTTTTAATGAAACAATTTTTGTTTTACCATTTTCATAACTACCCAGAACCTTTTCAACACTGGTTCTTTCGCGTTTGTAAATTTTAATTTATTTCTCAGCCATGTTAGTTGAATTCAATGCCTTTAGTTGCAGTGAGCGAATGGTAAAAAAACTCGAAAATTAATTAAATATATACCCCACTAAACATGTGATTGCAAGACCGGCTAAACTAATTAAATCATCACGCTTATTTCGCCTGTCAAGTTCAGCAATAACACTTTGGGCTATCTTAGATACCTTGACCATATATGTAGATTTACGTTCAGATGTTGAAAAATACAACCGTTTGTGCTTAAATAACATATACGCTACTGATAATATGTACAATTGATGATAAAAACTTTTATACCAATTATCGTCGTTAAGAAGCACATACATTACATCCATAACACATGCATCCTCTATAATGTTTTTTATTTTATCCCAACATTGTTGGGTAATACGATCAAGAATTGCATAAAATTGTTTTTCAATTAAACTACCCTCTTCCAAATGAACGTCGTGTCCGTACCAATAAAAACATAGAAATTTTGAAGCTCTTTGTATGCGTTGAGCTAATTCTTTTTCATACTGACGATGTGCAAATGTTTTTTGCATTTCTAAATAATTCTCCATAATTTAAAATTTCACGCATAACTGTACAGAAGCGAGCACAAGCGTATTCTAACACCAATACATAATTTCAAAAACTTAAATACATTTTTATGTAGAGAATAACCCTCTTTTAAAAATGTCTCAACGATGTCTTTAAAACATGTTTTCGTGTTGATCTGTTTTGTATATCTGATCATAGTCCCACAAGCTTCAGCATTTCATCGTCGGTTGTACGCATAGTAACAACTAAGCCCTCGCCGTATTTAATACAAATATATTTTGTTCGATGTATAGGTGCATCATCATCATCAAAAGATATTGTTCGTAAATATATAGTGAAACAATTGTTTTTACACAACAATTTAACAAATTTACAACATCTGTAGATTGTATCACCGCATAAAATATCCATGGGTTTTGTTTGCAACAAACTATTGTCATAGATATAGAAAATATGCATACCATATGCATATTGCCCATCCATTATGACCACTTATAACAATTGCAAAAAAAATACTTTGCAGTTATGCAGCTCGTAGATTTTTCCATACAACAGGTTAGACATACAGTTTAAAATAAACCCCAAGTATACTGTTTTATATAAAGCGATCATTTTAACTGATATATTTATTATAGAGGGTTCGCTTTGACAGGTTTGTAAAAAGTCATTAAGACTTTCAAAATCTGATGAATCTAATTCGTCATACGAATAATAAATCTTTTTATTCCAATGATCAAAAACAATTCTGCAAAATTCTCCAAAAGAACTATCAACATTCAGGTTTTTAATATGGTAAGTAGTTTTTCCATACTCAGCATCCTCTTTTTCAAATATACAAACCAACTGTTTATTAGCTGTATTTAATGTATCGCCATAAAAACCACATGTCCCCATGATACATTTAGCATTTTACGTTGATACGACGCCATTTTTGCAATTTTTCAAGACTTGCCAAGGTACAAAATAACTCTTTTTCACACAATTCCAATTGTAGATTCGCAGTATTTAAATATGCCGCAAAGTGTATCTTCGTAAATATATTTACCATAAACGTATAAAGTTCATCACAACGCGGTTTAACAGATATATACTTAACATCGCTATACCCGTAAATATCATATTTTCACAAACCATATTTTACCCGCAAAATCACACCGTGCGGGCCGACATTCGTCACACTTTCAATAACACGCAAACAATCTGGTGTATAAAAGGTGTCATGCACAAATAGTACACTCATTTTGTATCAAGATGACCAAACAATTAGGGGGTAGTTTTAAAGGGCGGTGACATCAACGTGGTAAAAAAAACAAATGGGGGGGTTTTTACCCTTTTCAGGTTTAAGTCTTCTCACAAGTATGGGTAAAGGTGGTGGTGGTGGGGGTAGAAGACCAAATCCCAGACAACAAGTAATCGAAAGAAGACAAAAAAGACGATATTACGATGATTATGATGATTATAATTAACTCCATATGATGCAAATAATTACTTTTTATAGGGGGTATTGTTGCCGGTGAGCGAGAATTAGCACGAAAACAATTTATGGATAACATCGCATTTATGACTAACACCACAAGAAAAAACTAAAATAGGGAAATATTTTCCCTTTTTAGGTGGAAAAAAAAAGTACAAAATGGTGGAGTTTGGTGGACTTTACTATTATAATATTTTATTCATCTATTGTAAATTCCGGCGCTATAACAGCTTCTGTACTAGCATCACAAAATGAATGCTTACATATCAACCTTAATCTACCGTATCTGTTTTTACTATCATATTTTAAAATTCCATAATGCCTACATTTTAATCGTTTAACGTTTATGGGTAAATATGCCCACACAATCTTCTAGTTCATCCATAAGCATTACTGTGTGCATGTAAGTTAATGAATCTAGTTCGTGAAAGTATGTACCACAACCGTCTTCACCTCGAGAACATTTATATATTTCACCATCATGTTCACAGGGTTTGTCACAAACACAACGAATTCTTGATAGTAAAGCTTTTGATTGTGGTATAGAACATTTATAGTCACAACCTCCATCACGGCATATAAAAAATAACTGTAGTTCATTATCCAGATGAACATCGTGACAACTTGCAATAACATGTTCCACACTTGCTTTTAGTGTGATACCACACATACATGTTAACTTTCTATTCTTGTATAAGGTCAAGTACCGCTGACATTCGCCCATAATACGCGTATATTCTTTAAAATATTTATTATCTGCATCAATGTTAAACTCGCAGCGCGAATCTGCACAAACATAATGAGGTGTTGACAAAATTTTGCACGACACAACAACTGCATTCTCACAGACACACAAAATACTTTCACACACAATATCTGAAACAACGTCCCAATTTTTACACTTTTTACAATCGCAGGGTAATAACCCACTAAAAACACCCGTAAATTGATGTTCCATCAATATTCACGATATTCCGCCTGCTCTAAGCACCACAACGTATCACGCTGAACACTGCAACTATCTACAAAATCGTCTTTAATAACACCTTTCCAAATTTCACTTCGAGAGGGATGCCAAATGTGGAATGTGTCTATACCCCGACGTTTTGTGGGGTAATGTTTACATATCCAATCATCATGAACTTGTATAATAGAAAGGGGTTTATAAAATCGTTGTATAACTGTAACATACTTAGTATCACCAAATTTTTTATTTTTTATATTATATGCTACAACATTTGCTGTAAGAGAAAATATGTCATTGATCACCAACTTTCGCATTACATCGACCATTTCACTAGAGTCTGTAGAATAACACCACCAAAGTCTTTGCGCGTAAACAGAAATATTCTGATTTTTCTCATAATATGAATTTGGAACAAAACTAACCATTTCGCGAAAAATAAAACTCTGTAGCACAATACAACACTGATACAACGAAAATCGCTGTTATCTCCTGCTCACTTGCTTTAAAACTAACTTTAATACCGTGTAAAGTAAAAAGCTCCGTGTTAATATCCAACGCAAACCTATTTTGTATTTCATTCTGTATTTCATTCTGTATTTCGTGTTATTTAATACTTTCTATACATATTTTGCATACCCCCACCATGTATGGGTAAAACCGGTGTTTCATACATAAATACGTAAATACATAAACTCTATAAATACACAAAGTTTTAATCAGTCTGCCAAAAAACACAAAAATGGCTTGTAAATATTGCCCTGAAAAATTTGCGTGTCAATGTCCGCCCAAATGTGAAAAATGCTACAACACTGCAAAAATCTATTGTGATGCAATTCAAACTTTACATGAAACCCGATACACCTATTAGTACACCTATTTTACCCAAAGACGCAGTTTTTCTTGTGGACGGCAACCAAAATAAAACAGAAATTGGTCAACAGCTAAACAGTGTGGGTTTTGAAGTAAGAGATACTACCGATGTAATTATACCAAACCCCCAAAGTCTCCAAAATAAACCAGGAATTGGTCGACAGCTAAACAGTGTGGGTTTTGAAGTAAGAGATACTACCGTTGTGGGTCTTGGAGTAAAAGATATGGAAGTAATAAAAACACGTGAAGATAAATTTAAATCCAGACAATTAAAACCAAAAACTGAATACTTTTATTGTTTTAGAAATATGGTAATTATTGTTGTAATCAATGTTTTCAATTAACTAATTAAAAGTTTGTGTCTTTACACGACGGTACAAGGATAGTCCGAATACGGTTTTGAATGTTCTTTACGACAACCCCGACAAATATTGGACTCTTGATCTCCTTTCTTGACGTGTGTCTCTGCACTTTCGCGATCATCTCTTTGTTTCTTTTCATCTATTTGTTTTTTTCAGTTGTTGTAATGTTGCTTTATCACGATGAGGAAAATTAAATTTTTCGCAGTTATCCACCCAGATGCCCGTTTGCCATTCCTCCATATCTACTTTACAACGTTTAGGTGGCGAAGCCATGTCTATTCAAATATATTATAATACACTAAATAATAATAATAGTACACTAACATTTATAGCGTTACCCTATGTCTATATATGGTTAAAAAATTTACTCATCATAATCATACGCTTTATATGTATCACACAATACATATACATAATCTAATAAATTATAAACATCCTCATACAAAAAAGTTTTTTTAGCCGTAGCTAAATCATAGTAAAATGTTGCGTCCTCACACATATTGTCACAGGGTTTAAAAACAATATCGCAGCCAAATCGTTTAAGTATCTCTTCATATGCACCGTTTATGATCAGACATTTATCCATAAAAAACTGTAGGTAAACGCAAACACCAATTCTCATACGCATACAAACTTTGTGTATACACCAAACCACCCTGGTTCAAATCCTCACGAATATGCAACCAACAAAAATACACTAGTACAACATTATACAAATCCTCCTGTTCTTTCGCTGTACCTGACCATAAATCAGGTCTGTTCATTTTCACAACTTTCGTTTTTTCCTAGTCGAACATTCTTGTTTCCGTTTACTTAAATTTACCCCATCTCCTTCAATTTTCATTCCTGTTATAAATAAACCCTCAAACTCTGTAACTTGATGCGTGTTACAAATGGTAAAATATTTCCAAAACTTTTGAATATATGTGTCATGACAAAAACCAGCTAAAAAACAAAAAGAATAATCCCGGTTACCAACAACACACATACACGCTATTTCCCACCCCTCACACATTATTTCAAATTGGCGTGCCGTTAAATCGGCACTATAGAACGTAATTGTAACAAACATATCCCTATATGGTTGTGGTATTTTTGTCAAATTCTTTATAAATTTCGTGCAAAAACACAAAAAATTTTAAGATTTCAAACAACCACAAAAAATGGCTTTTGATCATCATGATGCAGCTATTATACCCTTCAACGACACCACGTGTCAAACAACTTTGGAAAATGGAACTAAATGTTCTCAACAACATTGTCACCATGTTGAAGATGTTTGCGAGCTAAGCGATGAAGACTCCTTCCGCACACGTTATTGTGGGGGATGTCGTATGCAGCTATTTCATTCATTACGGGCAAAAACCGAAGAGATGCGGCAAGAAAAAATAAAAAAGGCTAAAGAAACAGGTAAAGATTATTTCACAGCTACGGGCTTCAAATCAGGCACAGGTGATTGGCAATATGAACATGTAAACAGCAGTCAAACATTTTGGGATCGCAACAAGCCTGTTACTGAAGAAATTATTCAAGCTTGCGGAGATAGGTGGATAAAAAATCGTCATGAATAATGTACTCACCAAACAACACTCAAACAATTTTTTAAATAGGTCGTGATTTTGAACACAACCTTTTAAGATTACGTCTTTTATCTGCTACACTTTTTATACGATGATAATAATAAATATTTACGCCTGGGCACATCAACTAACCCCCTTGTACAACGATTAATTTGCATTACTAATAACTTGTATAAATTTTGATCATGACCAATATGGTCTGGAATTACGTCACAATCAACCAAAGCACCAATAAGCGTTTTCAATTTCCAACAATTGGGATCTTTAGGATTGTTAAACTGCCCAAATAACCAATCTTTTACAACTTTCTCAAAAACTTTAGCCATCCTTCTTAAACAGCATACAATACAAAATGAATAAAAAAATAACCCACCTCATTCTTTTAGCGCCTCATCAACAAACTCATAATTTTTTTTATAAAAGGCATCTATTGTTTCATGTTGTTTTATATAATCCACATATAATATGTACAACATTTTCATTTTTTCAGGTTTTTCATAATCATCTTGTTCAACATTCTCCACCAAGTTATCCAACACATACAAACAAGCCAAATCATCTAAAATATCTGTGGCATACCAAAAACCATATTCTTTAAGCACTTTTTACCCTCCACACACCATATATCCTCGGGTAATAATTCGCCTTTATGCAAATCCAATTGTAGGATATACATTAAAATATGGTGAAGCAAATCCTCCTGAAGTAGTTTATTCTTTTCACCACTCCACGGTCCAGGTAAATAATCATATTTATCCTCAAAAATTATCTTCTCAACACGCTTAAAATTTTCACACATGTTGTGTATGTGGCGTTGTTATATGTACTAACTTCGTCTCCAGGACAACATCGCACTATCCGGGAGATGCAGCTAGCACTTGTGACACACACAACACAAACAATGGATGGTTGGATCTTATGTGACGACACGCTATACAAATGCAATAAAATAGCTGGACTATTGGAAAAACCCGATGGGAATTTTACAATTTATCTCAATACAATGCGTCACGGTGAATTAAACGCACATAAACATTATATTCATCTTAACTGGAACAAAACTTACTGGGGTCATTGGCTTTACAGCACATCATGCCATTATGAAACACGAATGATTGCTTTCATACGTGAATTTTACCTGTACGTAAACGTGTTAAAACAAAATTTATTAATTAATAAATTTATAAATGCAAAAATGTGTATTTATAAACATTTCGCATCAAAAGGATACCTATTGAACAAATCTATCTTCAAAATGGCTATTTACTACATACTTTGTCACAAAACACATCTGGAACCCCGAATAAATGACTACACTGCTACTTATCTATGTTGTTAACAGATAAAGGAAAAAACAGGTAAAAGGAAAATTCTGCACAAAAAATTTCACAAATACCCAAAGATAAATTAAAACGCTGCCATATTACCTGTGAATTATTTTTTAAAAGCAATTCACAGGTAATATCGCAGTATTTTTTTTTAAAAAAGGAAATATGTTATGTTATGAAGATCAAGCTGTATTTTATGGCACAACAACCTAAACGAAGATTAAAACAATTACTTGCTACTTGTTGTAATCGTCGTTTCCGTCAAATTGACCAAATTCGCTTTTACAGTTCTGGAAAAGGAGAATTCAATTTGAAAATTCGCTTTCACAGATCTGGGAAAGGAGAATTCAAAGAAAGAACAAAGAATCAAGAAATAGTTTTTTCTGGGTAGGTGCTTGGGACGATGTTGTTATCACGATCGTCCTCTAGCATCTCCCTAGGAAAAAAGTTACAATACCGCATATTGCAGAATGAGATAGTTTTAAAAGGACAATCAAACGAAAATGGTTCAAGACTAAACACTAATCCAAGATCACTATCTCATTTGGTTTTACCCAATGAGATGGTGGAATTGGATTGATTTTTGGTCTAAAAAATCAAAAAAAGAAGAAGAAAGGTTTTTCCAAAAGTATGTATTAGAAGTATTTACATCTTATGGTGAGAATCGAACTCACTTTGACTTAGGACTACTAGCCTCTTCTCCCTAACCGGCTAACAGTTAGGTTACTAAGAATCGGCATCCTAACATGTTGCCATTCTGCCACAATAGATGCCCGTACGGCTAACACACACATAATACTAATTCTTTATTTCGGTATTTATACACGTTTCACATATACAATACAATTATTACAGCACTGTTTTTTCATACGCATGCGTATTAATCACAAATTCATTTTACTCACATACTCTCTAAATATACAACTAACCGTCTCAAAATAAACTATATCAACTAACTCATACACTTGTTGATAATGTTCATCCATAATTTTCATTTTAGAACCAGCGTTCATCCTAAAAAAATAATGCTTCATTTTCAACAATTCGGGTATAGTTTTCTGGGTAAAAATTTCGTCGGGTTCCAAAACACCAAACACACTGATACATTTTAAAAATGTCTTGATCATTGAACCCCAACCAGTTGCTATATCGTTAACAAAATTATCCTCCCATAATTTCAACACAGCACTACAAGGAGCGCCAGTATAACCCGTGGGTAAACCTTCGTACACGTGTTTCCATAAATAACACGAAACTATATGTTCAAATAAATGTTGTTGTTGTTCTGCATCGCCAATCCAATGATCGGGTTTTTACCACTTTAAACTTTTTTACTTCTTCTAGGGCAAACACTTCAACTGAAACACGCATATTTTTATCACCCATTCTATCCAAAAAATTATTCTCTGCCATTTTCTCAGTCAAACCCAAATCCCACTTTCTTTTATAAACCTAACATTCCATACCCATATTTGGGTATTACTGTACACTTTCATAATATATTGCAGAAATCCCTGTAATTACAATATCCACCAAAGATTACTTACTCAGCGACGCACCAATCACTGCATGGTTAAATGGTCAATTGGTAAATATCATTCCCGTATTTGGCGACAAAGACAAAGAATTTTATGATTACTGCGACATATGTGGTGCTCAACCGTATGGTATTGAAAGATGCAATGAAAAATTACATCACATAAAACTAATACAAGATGAACTACGCCAACACCACCACGATTTGGAAAAACAGCCAATAGAAGTACAGAGTCTTCACCACGAAACAATAAAAAAAGGCATTGAAAAACAAATCGAAAAGCTTATAAATAATATTGTAACACAATACATTTTTAAAACCCAACTTCCGTTTATTGCGTCACACCTAACATATATAAACACTAATACTCACACACTACAACCCATAAGTAGCGCTTACCTTTGTCTTTGAAACAGCAAGATGCAACACCACGGATCGCTTTAAAATTTTTAAACGCCGCCCTGCTTTTTAGCGGGTGGCAAAATAATAACAACAAAAAAACACACACACCAAATCATTCTTACTCATTTTATTCATCATTATTAATTACAAATTTCTCCTAGCCCAGTCGTTTATTTGTTTTTGCTCTTCCTTGGATTTACTTTTCATCCACCTATTAAGACCCAAGGGATCATAACCACCCCCTTCTGTTTTCTCCTTTTTCCCGTGGCCAAACACATCGTCCTTCTCATATAATAAAATGATCCACGACCACCCTTTTGCTTTTTTCGTGATTTTTTTTCACCCCATGGAAAAAAACCACCACCTTGTTGAATTCCTGAACCCTCCACTGTTCGTTTTTTCCATGGTATCACACATGTTGCGTGGGCAACACCGCCACTTCTAGCCCCAACCACAGCCACGCGATTCATCGTTATAACTACAACCCCACAATTACGAACCTTTTGTAGTTGTTTGTTGACAGTATTCCATTTCACACATCGAATCACAAATCTTGGGTCAGTGTAAATTTAATAACATTTTTTAATAAATAAGCCGAAAAAACAGAATTTTTCACAATATCTGTTAATTATCAACGCTTTTCGCATGTGCTCACCCGCAAAACCCAAAAAACCCGAGACCGGAAGCGCATCGCACCGGATGTGTGTCACGCCGCGTGTCACGTGACACCACGCCATAAGAACGCCGCCAAATTCAAAATTCATCACTTCGGTCAACCACGGCTTTGGGTTCACACATCTCTTAATGTTGCGCAACAACATTATTGCATCATTTTGAAAGACCTCATGTGGTGCTAAAAGTACCCCCCGTCCGTGGAACCAGATTTTTACACTTTTTTGCTGACTAGACACTTTCTCGTAATACTATTTTATATTAAAAAAATATTTCCCACACCCCCACTAAAAAATCAAGTACTTTCATACATCTACTACTGCTGTGCTGTGTGTGTATATGGAGTTTATAAATTATGTATATATATACATATATACATATATACATATATACATATATACACATATACACATAGGGCCTACACACATACACACATATACATATACATATACATATATATAGTGGATGCTTACTTGAAGAATTTGATTGAAAAAGTGGAAAGTGGAACAAAACGTATGAGATGGAAAGCTAATTTCTTCCTAACCATTGTTTCGCCTACACGCATTCCGCACATTCTTTCGATAGCATAAAAGCAACCTACAATTTCGAAATTATTCACCACCTGATGATTCCTATACGGATGAAACAGACTGTTGTGGTTTTTTGAGGTAAAACGAAAAACTATATTACGCTCTATCTATATGGTATTGAGCACTGTTTGTGTTTCGTCAACCAAAATCATAAGCTATATTTGCACCCGGTAATCGCCTGTACACTCTTGTCTACGTTATTCATTTTATTTCTACTTCAAACATGCGACAATTTCGATTATTCACTAAAGAATATTCCTATACCATCACAGGATGCTTACCTAAAGAATTTGATTGAAAAAATGGAAAGTGTAAAACGTATGAGATGGAAAGCTAATTTCTTCCTAAGCATTGTTTTGCCTACACGCATTCCGCACATTCTTTCGATAGCATAAAAGCAACCTACAATTTCGAAATTATTCACCACCTGATGATTCCTATACGGATGAAACAGACTGTTGTGGTTTTTTGAGGTAAAACGAAAAACTATATTACGCTCTATCTATATGGTATTGAGGACTGTTTGTGTTTCATAAACCAAAATCTTAAGCTATACATATATATATATATATATATATATATATATATATATATATATATATTCCTATACCATTTCCTGACATTGCAGTTTGAACACTCTGGCAATGGTTTGATGTCCCACATTCGTGAGACATCAAAGGTAACTATTTATAGTAGTTACTTTCATCCTGCTCATCAGCACTACACTGATGAGGCCCAAAAGGCCGAAACGGTACCGTCTGTAGTTATATATATATATATATATATATATATATATATATATATATATATATATATATATATATATATATATATATATATATATATATATATCTATATCTATATCTATATATCTTCTATATATCTATATATCTATATATATATATATATATATATATATATATATATATATATATATATATATATATATATATATATATATATATATATATATATATATATATATATATATATATATATATATATATGTATATCTATATATATATATATATATGTATATATCTATATATGTAT